GTTTAACGTCTCAAAACCACCATATGATTATGAGAGGCGCCGTAATGGAGGGCTCCGGAAATTTCGACTGCCTGTGGTTCTTTACCATGCACCCAAATCTCAGCACACGGGCCTACAGAGTTTTCGCCTCCATCGGAAATGCAGCCGCCACCACCCGAGTTCGATCCCGTGACCTGCGGGTCAGCAGCCGAGTACCTTCGCTTCTAGACCACCGTGGCGGGGTTCAAACTTAGACATGCATGTACTTTCGGTCTATAACCAGCCGACGCTGGGCTGTGCTAGCAGTGCCGAAAACCGCGCTTTCCTCTTTTCTCGGTTCTTGCCATCGCTATAGTGCAAAGGAGCTCTGCGTTTCGGGAGAGAAAAAAACGTTTCTTTTGTGAGCCCCTTTTTTTTAAGGACGATAGTCTTTCTTGGAACCATCAACGCGAAAAGTTTGGTCTGTCTGTTTTTCTGTGTTTTTGTACGTTTGTCTGTTTGTCCACCCTCAACGATACCCCAAACGGCACGAAACGATACCTCAAACGGCTGACTCCTTCTGAAGTGCTGACCAATATTGCTCACGTTTCAGCGTTCATACTTGTGCGATTGTCAGTTAAAAAGCAATTAAAGCGCATATCTGGGGCACCATAACAACACGTCAATATTATCTATGTGTGGCTTTATCTTTGAGAAGGCATACATAAGCAATTCTAAGGACCGTAGTGTTTATCATGCTGCGTTGACAATGCAACATGATCCCCAAAAAGGCAACTGTTTCCAACGCTTTGCCAAAACGACATGGTGGTGGCACCTGCCCATTGCTTTGCGTTCTACACTTTATCGCCTCCGAGACAGGCGACCGCACGCTTTCATTCTTTTTCGAAAAAAAGTGCGATATAACGCTCGTGTCTAACGTGCCTCGATGCGCTATTTCGCTTTCGCTGCATGGATCGAGACTCTTCAACGCAGCGCCTCCAAAATACAATTCACCAAGTTTCTTACGCAGAACACCAAACAAACGCCTTGTTAACTCTCTCCAGACGCAAGACTATCGTCGGTTAACCACATTTGCAGCAAAACATGCAGATAACGGGCCATTTTTTTTTCTTTCATTTCGGTGCACAACAACCGACGAATAAGCTTCGAAACTACATAGCATGTTGACGGGGATTTAAATGTTTCGTATTTGCGAGAGTTCATAGATAACGACTGTCGTATACGTAACTATAACCCGCAAACATAAAAGCCAAAGGCTTTCAGGAAGACAAGCATTTGCCATACTTCATGATCGTTACCAAGCGCAGCACCAGCTACATGCATACCAGAAAGTCGTACAATATCTCAATCAAGGTTACAACTGTACAAACAAAAAAGTTTCTTAATTGCATGAATGACCACGAGGTGTGCTGGAAGGCGCCGAGACAGTGGAGATAAGTAAATGTTTCTAATCTTTTAAAAAATAAAACACGCGGTGGCCGTCCAAACGAATGCCATGAAAGCTAAGCAGCGGGAAGATTTGGATTATGTTATCGTTACTATGAAGACTTAAAGAGCACTCCCACTATTAAGCTCATTAACTGCACTTCAATCAAACAGTAACAAAATAGGTCCTACTAATCATCTACTTGTTTTGTGCTGTCATTGACGCCTAATCAACAGGAAAGTACGTGTCGGCCGTGGCAGCTGCCATTCACAGGAACCCAAACAAGCTGAAAGTGCCTATCAACCTCCAAGGCGTAGCCATGGGCAACGGCTTCACAGATCCCGCGACGATGACACACTACGGTCCGCTGCTTCTGCAACTGGGCCTTGTGCGAAAGAAAGAAGAGGCGCATATGACCCGGATGCATCATCGCGCCGTCTGTCTCTTAAAACAGGGCCGAGGTGCGGCGTCCTTCGATATTATGGATTCACTGTTCTTCGGCATCTTAACTAAAGAGACGTATTTCCAGAAGGTTACTGGATTCCGTTTCTACTATAACTTGTTGAACAGCGCACCGCCCGCAGGAATGCGGTCGTACAAAACAATCGTGCAGATGCCGCACGTTCGCAGAGCCATCCACGTGGGAGACAGGCCGTTCAGTACCAACCGCACGGTAGTGATGAGTAGCATTAAAAAGAGTTTCATGTCCTCGGAAAAAGGACTGTTTAAGCTGGCCCTTGCAAACTATAGGGTGCTCGTCTTTAGTGGCATGCTAGACATCTGCGTGGCAACCGTGGGTACTGAAAGTTTCTCGACAAGCTTCAGTGGTCTGGCCGGCAGCAATGGGTCCACGCCAAGCGCGAGGCGTGGTTGCGTGCCGACGGCGAAGTCCTTGGTTACGTCAAAACGGCAGGCAACCTGACATTCGTTGCTGTTAGAGGTGCGGGTCACATGGTTCCCTTCGACAAGCCAGAATTCACTTACGACATGATCAGCCGCTTCTTCTACCAACTGCCGTTCCTGTAGAGTTCATCTGGGGGTTTTCGTCGATGTCTGCGTCAAATTCCTTCAGCTAAACGCTGCACTCATTCAGGGCTGAAAGTAGATCAGCTGAGCTTAAGATCACTTCAAGCAGCTGATCTGGATGAATACGATTGTCTTCCTGGAAACGCTGAACCTTGTGAAAAATAGCATCCAGGCTTTGAGACGTATGTGACCTGTCTTTATTGCATATGTACAGATAACAAATAAAAAAAGTCGTTGTTGTGTAGGGGTTGGTGTCGTTTTGAATCCTATGCCTAATAAAGCTCCAGAACCTGTACCTGAGGAACTGCGTAGCATGAGCAACCCAGCGATTTCTTTCGAAATCACGCCAAAGGTATCGCACGAGAATATAACTCAGAGACACATATCATGGCACGCGAGTATCCATACAAAAGGTGAATTTCCATATATCAGAGGTCACACGAATGGTACACGAAATCAGCACTGCCAACATTAGTTGTGTGAGAACAAGTCAGATTCTTCCGATATTTAAAAGAATGTTAGCGAATTTATTCAGACTTCTTTGTACAGGTAGATTCATCAGGGCGTCATTTTAAAAAAAACTTTTAAAGAATCCGAAAGTTTCTTCTATACATACAAGGTTCATTTAAACTTTGTCGCACATCTTAAACGATTTAATCAAGGGTTATAGTGTCTTAGCCTAGTGTTCTCACATTCTCTGTTCATTGCATGTGTCGGTCAAGTACATATGATCACCCGCCGAGACGCAATTTTTCTTTGAAAGTTGCCCCTACAGGAAGCTAATTCAGAGCAGAACTTGAAGAAGCGTCGGAAACGTGATTTAAAAACTAGTGCAGCAGAAAATTATTACTAAGTTTGCTTTAAAACTTAATTGATTAGCTTTAACTAGACATCTGTGGTTCACTGCTTAACCTGCATCACTATATCGTGGGGTTGCGACAGTGACTCACTGTGGCAGTGTGCATAGTGTATTATTTGCAAGTTTTAATATTTTCAGTCAACTGTCATGCCTTTAACTTTCCTTTCAGTACAATAAAAGCTCATTAACTCAAATTTCCCGGGAACGGAAAAAAAACTGTTTGGGTTAACCAAATCATCGAAAATATTAGGAAAAAAATGAATAAACGTCTACTGCATGACTTCACTTTCATTTTCGAGTAGAATATGCTAACTCAGTAGCATATTCTACTGTGCATAAACCTACGCAAAATCTGCCGCTTTTGTCATTTGCGAGCTTTTTCGCAATGTGAACACAGGTCAAAACACCGTGTCATGAGCTCAAGTATGCTTTAAACATTTTCATTAACACGTACAAACAACGTGATTATGGATCATGATCACACCTCTCTGAAAGCTCAGGGTCTTTTCTAATGTAGGCAAGCTAGGTCTCCTTTCCTTCATGTAGCAGGTTCACGCCACTTCCCGTTTGGCGCGCGCCGAGCATTGCTCGCACTCATCTTGTTGCGGCTAAATATGACCGAATCAACGAGAGTTTGATACCATCAAACAAATCATGAGCTGGCCGGGGCCGGAGAACTCGTTTAATTCATCCTGTTTTCCTAGTTGACGAGTGCGGAATCAATGAGCTTTTAGTACTGTATCAATGTCGGGACACCTTATGGCATCTCTATCCAAAAAACAACAAAGTTGTTTCCATTCACCTTATGATAGGGCTTTATGCCAGTGTCTTCGACATTTTTCTCGTCAATTTAGAAAGGCTATTTGTTTCATTTAGATCACTATTTTTATATTTCTGCAATCAAGACAAAGCACAGCCTTTTGATTTGCTAGCTCAGAATGTATTCTAGGGCACTCTAGCTTCTTGTAAATTAAGTTCTTAACACCCTAAATATTCGCTTCTTGTATGCGGAATATTAAACATCACCTGAAAAATGAATGCATTGACAAGCACCCATGTGGGTGATGTGTACGTTATGTTTACACAAAGACCCTTAGCCAGAATTTTTTTCAGAAGGGGGGGGGGGGGACGTGTTGAAGACATTTATGCCTCTATTTTTGTTATTTTTTCTTGCTAAAACACCCCCCTTTATCCCGATTTGGGGGCAGGGCTTGGTGGCAACGCTACTTCTTTTGCTTGTCTTTTTTTTATGCCTACCAAATTGTGCGCAAGTTACTGATTCTCTATGATTTTGCCTGGTGGCTCCTGCCAACCTATTTATCAATGAATTTATTCATTTAGATAATTGTTTATTTATTTATTTATTTACTGATTGACAGCACCTCAAGGTATAAATACATTGCCGAGGGGGTGGGGTGTACATCATCATAAAAGAATGTTCCATCAGGGATTACACAAGCAGAAGACGCTGTAGGCGTAATGTACATTGCGAATGTTGTTTTTTTTTTTCATTCAAGGAATAATAGTGGTGTGCGTCGTCAGACAAGGTTGCAATAAAAGAGTTCCAAGTCCTAGAATGTTTTGAGGCAACATTGTGTATTTACACAAATATAGTCATAAACAGAGCTAGGCCAGCTTTTAGAGCAGACTTTTATGCTGGTGTTCACCCACTGAACGGCCCTTATTGTAGCATAGAAGCGCTAAAAAACGTATCCACCGTAGTGGAATGTGTCTTTCGTCAGGTGGAGTTGTCCAACCTCTTCCGTATTCCTACGAAAGCACCCTCGATCCTCAGAGTGCCAAGGCTTTGTTTGATCTGCAGAGGAACCTGTAAATAAAGAAGACGTTTAATGTAGAGTTTCATTGCATACTGTTTCTATTTTCCCGGCAAATATGGAAGATCTGGAATGGGTAGGGAAACGACGTCTAGTTTTAGCAGAAATCCGACAGCAATGACTTCATATTATCTGGTCACTGCCGCTTGCAACCGTCTTGCGCTCTATGGTGCACCACAACTGGAGCTATGCAACATGTCCAGTTAATCTTCAGCAGAAATTATGAGCACTTATTGAATATTGAATAACATACACAAAGTGGTAAAAACGGGCACCCAATGCGTTATTGACAAACATTTGTTGCAAACGAAAGAAAACTAGAAGTATCTTTACTCCTTACAAAGTACTTTTTAATTTACTTCCAATATATTGGGCTACATGCTGCCAGATCGTAGCAAAATTTTCTGTAAATTGGCACACAAAACAATAATTATCACCTTTGTCTTCTTGGTGGGCACAAATTGAACCACGTGTACAGAGTGCAGAAGGCACAGTTTGATTGACTGCAAAGCCAAGCGCATGCCAATGCAGTTTCTCGGCCCGGCTCCAAAAGGAAGGTATGTGTATGGACGAATAAATTCAACGTTGCCGTCATTAAACCTGCAAGCAGAGTATATAAACGGTAGTCAGGTGATTGGATCTAGGTAGTGTTAAATGAAAATTTTTTAAATAATACTTTCACTTCTCCGTCGTTACAAAAGCTGCTTTTTTTCTACGTGAATCAGTTCACCTCCAGTATCAAAGTGCATCGGCAATGCTAGGAAGCCGGGGACACCTCAGCAAACAAACAAAAATGGACCAAGATGATGAAAATAATTTTAACGTGCAGTGCAGCAACGGCCGTTTTGTAGGCTATAAATGGCTGTAAAAGTTATGAAAACGATTGTGAAACGTAGATGCTGGAAACTTACGATAAACAGGCCAACTGCGAAAGCTTTCCTGAATCGACGCATGTTTGACATCGTTGTGAAATCACCAAATGATAAACTCTACTGTGGGATGCGAGAGACCTCAACTCCTGCGCCTCATTCTACCATCAGTATCCATTCATAAATCGAAGTTTCACGATACTGATTGTGAACCCAAGCTCCCATCGAACTCTCAGTAAACAAACCATGTGCATTTATTTATCCTTCAACGTGGACACAATGCAGGCAAGTTGTCGTATACATTCACGCAGTTGTCACATGTGTTCAATACATCTTCTTTTTCTTTGTTTATTCTTTTTCACAGAGAGGTACTGTGGCAAGTCATGCAAGTGCAGCTTGTTCGCCTCCACATCTCTACTTTTTCCATTCCCCTACTCCTCCTCCTGAAAACATCCTGTTACGCGACAACGCATCGTTTATCTTTCCCGCAAGCACTTTCCAGCTTCTCAGTCATTGTTTCACAATCCAGAAATTCACCTCTCTTGCGAAAACACTCCCTCATCTCGATGTTTACCCGCTCAGAAAGCATACAACCTGGCTGAGCTTTCCTTCCTAATGTATTCTGCTTTTCTCTATAAATCGATTTCGTATGACACAGTATATTACCTGTCTGGATTGAACTGTTCGGGTTCTGCAAACACTTCCGAGTCGTGATGCATGGCGTAGATTGGCACGACCACAGAAGAGCCCTTTCGGAATCCTGATGCCTGTGTCTGCTAAGACGTAGTCCTGGGAAGCTATCCGCTGAGTTCTGGAATTGGATACAGAGGGGTCTTTCCAAAACAGAACTGCCCAATCAGACTGTTCTATTGCAAATGAATACAGTCGCGTGAGACCCTCGTCACCTTGGAACGGCGGGGAGCATCCGCAGCGCTTCCGACACGACGCAATGTAGGTACTTTAACTTGGAAACAACGTCAAGGCTTGGTTCCGGTCCCTGCTCGAAAGAAATGATGAATCAACTCGTGATTTTACAAAGTAATGAAACCAAAGTTACTGAATGAAGAAACTTGATAGCAAGGTAACTGTGTTTCTTTCAATTGATTCTCATTTTGTAGGCAAAGCACAAAACCTGCTGAACAGGAAGTGTTTACCCGGTACCACACAGATAATTTACGTCGAAAAGTGCATTTAGTAGCCACCCCTCACCAACACGATTGACTTAATCGAAAATTTTGTTAATTCGTACGTCTAATACAATCCTTTTTTTTTTACAAATTGCGATTTTTCGTTTCTGTGACGAATCTCCGAACTTACGTGTGTTTGGAAACATTTATCGGCTTCTCTTCTGAGTTTTTCCTGCACTTCGGAATTAAGTGCAAGGTAGTAGACGGCACCGGCCAAAGTTGACGATGTCGTATCTTGACCGGCAAGGAAAAACACCAAGCACTGTGCCAGGGCTTCATCTTCGGTGAGAGCTGCGTGAGCAAATACTGACATGATATAGCTGCGACGTACGTGTCACTTGAGCGGCATATATCTCCAAAAACTAGTGCATGACTTGCTACATAGTATCGAAAAAACGAGGAAATTCAGGGGAATATGGAAGCTTGAAATTGCGAAAAATTACTGTTAAGGCAGTGTCGCTGGGGCCAACATTTTGATAATCGGTCTGCTTTTAAAGGAACGCTAAAGGGAAACGATTTGGTTTATATTATTAACTGTACTCTGAGAACTATAGTGTCACAAGTTTGACTGTATTAAGTTTATTATTAGCGGAGAAAATCGAAGTCCAAGTTTCATCTTCAAATTTTGAACCGATACTTCTACACCTGACGTCAGAATTTTCAAAATATATTTTTCGTAATTTCACGCCAAGTGCTCAATGAAATTTTCTGAAATGTGGTATGGCAGTTCTATGTCATCCACAGATGACAATGTACTTCATTTTTCTGTCTGAAAACTACGTAAGGCCAAATATAAACGCTGTCTAAATCTGCGACATCACGACGTTTCATGCGGACATCTCAAGCTGGTGTATCCATCGCGAGCTTTTTTGTTTACATTAGTATTGCGCTTCGGGATTGTGCAATTGTTCTTTACTAATACGTGAGAAGTCGTTTTCCTGTTTAGTCCTCTTAAATATACAGTGAAGACGAAAACCGCTTGCCAGAACATCTACTCCACTTTAGTTCTTCATCTGCCACATCACACTGGCACTAAATGAAAATTGCAGTCAACAACGAAGATGCAGTTATTAAGGGAACATTTTTCACAGAATTCATCACAGTCTATGTCAGTGTCATAGCTGCTGAGTGGAGGGCCATTAACAATGCATTTTGGGGTGATTACCTCGGTGTGTTACCAGATACTCCAACGTTCTGCACTCCTTCATTCCTAGCAAGCCACTTGTGAACAAATTTTTTTTTCTGTTTGCTCTAGTGATGTTCCATCTAACAATAAAAAATTTCTGGAACAGGTTTTCTAACTACCACGAAATGAGCCAGCCGATCAACGACATTATTCTGAACAATTTTATTGCAATAACAATTCTATGGACAATCCCGGCTGGATTTTGTCACCAGTGTCGGTGTCCCTCAGCGTATATGTATACCTATCAACATATATGAAAACGCAAGAAAGAACACTAATTGAGAAAAAAAGCTACGGCGCGCAGAATCTAATGTGGGACCTCTGAAGGGTGAATGCAAGGCGTTAATTACTGAGCCACAAAGGAGCACCTCCTTCAACATTCAAACGGCAAGCTATTTATATGTACCACTTACTGCTGGTGACGGAAATATCGGTGGGAACTATCAGGTTTTTAAAATTACCAGCAAGATAGCAAGATGGTACAAAGAGCACGCATCACCCGTCGTCAAGATGCAGTGGCAGCGCTCTCATCTACCACGCGTACTTTGCCCTGCAGAGAAGCAGAGTGGACGCTAACACGCGCGCTTATTTTGCGGTGGGGCAATCATACGTCTTGGCTGGGCTTAAGCTTTCACCGTAACGATCATGTTGTAGTTACCGGGCGCACTAATGTCACTGCAATCATTGCAGTCTTTGTGTGCGAAAAGGGCGAACTTTTCAGACACAGCGAAGTAACAACTGAGACGCTTATTCGCATTCACTTGTAACCGTGACAACCTTTCGTGTTTCATTTGTGTGGGAGAAACGCGGGGCACGTTGCAATTTGCTGGCCATTTTGCACTGTGATAAGAATAGTTTGCCGTTCCGGCACCCGGGGGCGTCGATGTTGCAAGGAAATAAATACGGCGCACAGACCAGCCAGTCAGTGTGGAACCCGCCAACGTACGTGTGTGTGATTCGGTCCAGCGACGGGCATGGCCCAGGACTATCCGGTTATCACAAGTGGCGACGAGGTCGACTGATGAATCGGACGGGCACAGCACAATCACACGTCGTCATGCCTGTCGTCGGGAAGCTGAATCCGTTCGACCCGAGTACATCGGAGTGGGCGGAATACCGTGAGCGGGCCAAGCTGTACTTCATTGCGAACGACATCCCGAGCGACAAGCAGACAGCCGTATTTTTGACATGCTGTGGTCCAGAGACTTGTTCTCTGCTACGTGGCCTCCTAGCACCAAGCAGGCCCGCCCAAGCAGGACTGACCGAAATTTTTACCACACTTGGCAAGCACTACGCCCCTTGCGTATCAGAAGTAGTGGCAAGTTTCAAGTTTTTTTCTCAAGACATCGAAAAGAGGGGGAGACCGTGACTACATTGCCTCGTTGAAGAAATTAGCCAAAGACTGTAATTTCGCAACATTTCGAGAGCGCATGTTGCGCGACCAGATAGTCAGCGGAATCAATGACGTAACCATGCAAACACGGCTGCTGGAAACGACGTGTTTAACCTTCGAAACTGCAAAGGACACCGTCGTGGCTATGGAGGCTGCGCGTAAAGATTCACGCACATTGAGCTGTCAGCAAGCACAGCTACTATCTCACGAAGCTTCGGAGCAAGCAAACATTGTCACCTCGGGGAAAAATGATAGCTGTTGCTTCCATTGAGGGGGAGGTCATTCTGCGCGTCGGTGTAAGCACGGCAGCACGAACTGTCACAACTGGCGCCAAAAAGGGCACCTTGCAAGAGTTTGCAGAGTTCAGCCGGGAAGTAGAAATTTCGACCGGAGCCAGTCTAGTCGCGTGAACAACCTGGGCGACCTGCCTGTCTCTGCTGAAGAGGCCGAAGTTTTCGACTTGTGGACGCTTCACACGGCTAGTTCGGAGCCAATGCGCATAGCGGTTGAAGTTAATGGCATAATGCTCGATATGGAGTTGGACACCGGCGCTAGTGTGTCGACCATTGATGATGGCGAGTTTGCCGAGCTTTTTCCGCCGGTGCCATTGGAGCCATCGAGTGTGCAGCTGAGAAGTTTTTTCGGCGACATGAAAAGCGTTCAGGGAAAGCTGGAAGCAATGGTCAAACTTGGCGACAAGGAGTGCCAGCTACCACTATTTGTTGTGAAAGGGACATGTCCTACGCTGTTTGGACGAAGCTGGATGAAGGCCTTCAAGCTAGGCAACGCTCAGACAGATGGAGTCAACGTCGTGAAGTCTACGGAAGACCTGGTAAGCCAATATCACGAAGTTTTTTCGGAGCAGCTTGGCACGTTTCACGGCGTTACAGCGTCTATATCCGTACAAAAGGGTGCGAAGCCACGTTTTGTCAAGGCACGTCCGATACCATTTGCTTTGCGCGATAGGGTTTTTGAAGAACTACAGAGGATGGAACGGGAAGGCATTATCAAACCGGTGAAAACTTCTCAGTGGGCCGCGCCCATAGTTCCTGTATTGAAGCGCGACGGCCGGGTTCGGGTCTGCGGCGATTTTAAGACTACCATAAACCCGGTTACAGTCGTCGAGTCCTACCCTATTCTTAGGATTGAGGAACTTTTTGCGCGACTTACAAAGAGCAAGAAGTTCACAAAGCTTGACTTGCAAGATGCCTACCAGCAGGTTCCACTGGATGAGGAGTGCCAAGAGCTAGTCACCATTAACCCTCCGAAGGGGTTATACCAATTCACAAGGCTGCCGTTCGGGGTTTCATCAGCTCCGGCTATATTTCAGCGAGAGATGGAAAATCTGTTGCACGACCTTGACCATGTCGTAGTGTACTTTGATGATATTCTGGTCACAGGAACCAGTGACAAAGAGCATTGGGAAAATTTGGGCCGAGTGTTGGATCACCTGAAGACCGCGGGACTGCGACTGAAGTTATCCAAATGCGAATTCATGAAACCAGAAGTCCAGTACTTGGGACATATCATTAGTGCGGCTGGGCTGCGTCCAAACCCGGCTAAGACTGAAGCAGTGCTGGAAGCCCCCACACCCCGAGCGGTCAAGGAACTTCAGAGTTACCTCGGGTTGGTTAATTTCTACAGAAGGTTCTTGCCGAACCTTTCTGCCGTATTACAGCCGCTCAATAGTTTGTTGGCTTCGGGAACACCATGGCGCTGGGAAACTGATGAAAAGCAGGCATTTCGAAAAAGCAAGGAGCTATTGGCCTCTGCTGCTATATTGGCACACTTTGACCCAGGAAAGCCAACTGTGCTTGTCACTGATGCATCTCCCTCCGGGATTGGAGCAGTACTGGCGCAACGAGAGTCATCTGGAGAAGAGCGCCCCGTTGGTTTTGCCTCCCGCAGCCTGGCAACCGCGGAGAAAAACTACAGCCAATTAGATAAGGAGGCATTGAGCCTTGTATTTGGCGTTACAAAGTTCAGGCAGTACTTATGGGGCCGGCAATTCGAAGCCGTCACTGATCACAAACCGCTGCTCAGCCTGCTTGCAGTAGACAAACCAGTTCCCGAATCCTGTTCTCCGAGAGTGCTAAGGTGGGCCTTGCTGTTGTGGGGGTACAGTTACGACCTGAAGTATAGGCCGGGTTCACAAATTGCACATGCCGATGGGTTAAGCCGGCTACCTCTGCCAACTGCCGAATTTGTTATTGACTGCCCTGCCGAAGTGTTAATGCTGGAAGGAGTATACCCAGGGGTGCTGTCGTCAAATGCTGTTGCGGCAGCCACCTCCAGAGACCCGGTGCTGTCACAAGTAAGAGCAGCGTTGTGGTCAGGCTGCCAGATAAACCTAGGGTCAGAGGGAAGACCCTACGAGACGCGCTTTCATGAGATGAGCATGCAAGAGAACTGTCTATTGTGGGGCAACAGAGTCATTGTTCCAAACTCCTTGCAAAAGGAAGTCCTCCAGCTGCTGCATGAGAGTCATCCAGGACTGTCCAAAATGAAGGCAGTTGCGCGTAGCCATGTGTGGTGGCCTAGCCTGGATAACGATATAGCGATAACCATTCAAAGGTGCCGTATTTGCCAGGAGCATCAAAGAGTGTCACGACCAGTGCATGTCATGCCCTGGCCATTCCCGGAGAAACCGTGGTCACGGCTGCATGTGGACTATGCCGGTCCTTACAGAAACACCTATTTTTTTATCGCAGTCGATGCGTTTTCGAAGTGGATTGAAGTGTTCCCGGTCTCTACACCCTCGGCTGAAGCAACTATTTCCTGCATGCGCATTATGTTCGCAAACCAAGGCCTTCCAGATGTGGTCGTGTCGGATAATGGGCCAGCATTTACCAGTGAGCTTTACTTCACATTCCTCAAGAAAAACGGGGTGAGGCGAATGCTGGTGCCGCCGTATCATCCAACGTCAAACGGTGCTGCAGAGCGGGCCGTGCAGACTGTAAAAAACAAGTTGCAGAAGGCTGGCTTTGGAGATATTCGCACTCAAATAGCCCGCATGCTCCTAACATACAGGTGAACGCCTCACGAGGTCACGGGTTGCTGTCCGTCGGAGCTGTTGTTGGGACGGAAGCTGAGGACTGCGTTTGACCTGCTACACCCAGACCTCAGGACCAAGGTGCTACAGAAGCAACTTAAGCAGAAAATCAGATGCGACCAAGGAACAAGACCCAGGGTTTTGGGCCACCCGGGTGACCAGGTGTTCGCAAGGAACTTTCGTCCTGGACCTGCGTGGCTCCCTGCAGTTGTCACCGAACAACGCACTTCGTCCATGGATGTTCTACTGGAAGACGGACGACAGTTAACTTGACATCTGGATCACATCCGCCAGGCCCCTGAGGAACTGAGTGCAGACAACCAAAAGTCAGGCAGCCCAGTATCTACCGGTCTTGCTCCAAGCTTGGATGTGGGTCAGACGCAGCTAACTGGTCTTGCTCCAGGCTTGGATGTAGGTCAGAGGCAGCTATCTCCGGATCGTCTTCATGACACAGAGTCTAGGCAAGATCCCAGGGAAGACGTGGCGAGGGAACCGGAACTTGCTGCCACAGCACCCAGTACTCCTGTGCTGCGTCGAAGTACCAGAATTCGACGACCAGTATCGCGCTACGCACCCTAAACAATTGTTTGCAACCATTAATAAAGGGGGGAGGGATATGATGAGATTAGTTTGCCGTTCCGGCGCCTGGGGGCGTCGATGTTGCAAGGAAATAAATACGACGCACATGACCAGCCAGTCAGTGTGGAACCCGCCAACGTACAAGTGTGTGATTCGGTCCAGCGACCGGCATGGCCCAGGACTATCTGGTTATCACATGCACGTGACCTTTCAATTCGTTGCTATCACATTCATCGCTCTGCCTTTGTGTCAAAGCTGTGACTTTTTATGTCGCTCCATCAGAAGTTTATCAAGAGCACTGCTCATGAGGTGACATCAATTTTTGAATAACTGTGCATGGAACCCACAGCCTGTGAACTCAATGTTGCTCTGAGTCTTTTGCGCGTACGAGACAAAATAGAAACAGGACACAACTGGGTTGGCTAAAGTACATTATCAAAGAGAAAAAACTGGCCCAAAAAGTAGCGCATACAGCAGGGGGACGGTTTGGGCAATCACTCTTCCCCATGTCTAGCTGTGTCACCAGCCTCACCTCCTTTCTTCAGAGCTCTTCGACCACCTCCTATTGCCAAATATGATAAGTGAGTCCGACGACTGTAAGCCCACATTAACAATACATTTGCTTTGATGGGGTATTGTGCTAGTAAAAGAAAGGGTCCAACTACACCCTTCTCTCCTGTGTTACTTCAAGTGACCACCCTTCCCCCTCCCCTAAAATTAGAGGCTGGATCCACCCGTGGCTGCAAGGTAGCGTTTGCGGGACCGGAAAGGTCGCGACACGCGGCGCTGTTTTCATCCCGAGCACGCAGAGGCCGAGAGTGCCGAGCACATTCTATACTCCAAAGCAGGGGTGTCCAGCAAAAAGCACTCGAACGAACAGCTTATTCTGGGAAACTGCGACAAATATACATTTGTTCACAACTTCAGAGCAAATAAAGACAAAAGGTGAAAAAAAAAAGGTTACCGTGTACATAGCCACATCTGCCAATAAGCAATACACAAGGGTTCCTCCAAGAGATGGCCTTTCAGATAAGCCAACAGGAAGGTGGGCTGCTTTCTACCGTTTCTGCTGCAAATCGAATGTGCTTGGTAATCTCGCTATCAGCATGCTCCTGAACAGCAGCGCCACGTGTCACAATAGTGCGGCTTCAACCCCCGTTCAAGTGTTCTGATCTTTTTCCGTTCAGAGTGTCCTCCTAACTTTTGTGTACGAGCATGTCTATGACTCTGTGGTACAGCGCACAGCTATGTGCAAGCGCTCTTTACCCTTTGACAATGTACTGTTCTAACAATTATAAAATCTAAATTCCGAATAAACACTCCACGGAGCACTTTCATGAATACCAGTTTGCATTGCCGGGCTGCTTGCGATTCTACCATCAAAATGACACAACCAGGAACGTCATAAATCACAGATCGCAATCAGTATGGCGACTACCTGTCAGCCCCAGAGCATGGATGTTTAATTTACGGTGTCGGAGATCAGCAGTTACTTAAAATGTATTTGGAAGTGTCAACTTGCTCTTCGTTGCTATTCTACAAGTATTTACAGTAGATCTGTCAGTCGCCGCCTACATTCACAATATAACAGACCTCGGTGAGAAAAAGAACAGCTTTTAGCCAAATTGGATAAAAGTAAATTTAATTTAATATTTTGATAGACATCTACGTTTCTTTTTGTATGTGTAAGTGTTGACTAAATCAAAATGCTTTTGCAAACAGGTGCCATCGCTTACCAACAGTAGAACAAACTGACAACGTAATAAATCCGTACAAAACTTCTGCAGCAATCAATTCGCAGCTGTTTGCAGGTTCCTGCATTCATTGTTTTGCCATTACAGAGGCGTCAGGAAGTGTCACTAAATTAATTGATTGAGACGGACTTGCAGCCTTACCATTCGACAAGGACTTAGCTTCTGACTTCGCTTCGGATCCCATGTCGAACAACTTGCTCTCCGCGTCAAGTGAACTTGCAGCGGCTGTTGTGAAACGACCTTGCTTCGCTTCTATCATGAGTTGCAGAAAGTCTTCTATACGCTGAAATAAAATGAGTACGAGTATTAAGAGTTTGTGGCGGTGAGATAAACTCGGCGCATTTGAGGTGCGTAAGTAGTTGGTTGTTCATAATGTTGAAGTATATACTGAACTATATTGAAGTCAGTAGTTGTTTGGTTTGTAGTATTGATATGTATTGAAGTATTTTATATATACGGTCAGCGTCAACAATTTAGATACCACGAAAACAAAGAAGCTTAATATTTCAGCTGATTATGCAGGCTGTATTGAATTTATATTTTCAGCCTGTTATAAAAACACGATAGAAGCATGTTTTGCGCCGTTTCTACCGAATACAACCATAGATTGTCGGGAAATTGGAACTCTTCTGAGACTCATAGTGACCTCTAGACATTTCCCTCCAGCTGTAGCTTACATACAGTCACATAAAAGTTACTAAAGTATATCTTTTTTAGCCCTCACTGAATAATGTAAAACATATGCGACTCAAACATACTGCTTCGAAAGAGAGAAAATGAAATTTCATTTTGTTCACTGGCTCCTATACAAGGAGGGGAATGACCGCATACATTAGGTAGCCATAGGCCACGGTTATATTCTAATTCAGTTCACCAGTTGTAGCTGGTCCTCTGCACTTACGCTTGTCAGCTGCACTTCTCACAAATTCACTTTTCCAGAAAAATGCATTCTTCGAGTGATAAACACTCTCACGCCAATTTCACTGTAGATCATGCTATCCATTATACTGGACCGTAATCACCTCAGAGAGGGAGAGAGATGAAAACATTAATTTTGAAACCAAAGTCCGGGTGTGAGGTCTAAGGTGAGCCTTTACTGACCTCCCCTAAGATGGTTAGCATATGGTCACAGAGGACTGTCCACGATGAGGTTTTTTTGCCCAGTTTCACAACCCAGGCCTTTGAAGTAAGCATGTTCGAGCGTAGTGATTGTCGTTAAGGCGTATTGGCTCTGAGGCAGTGCCAGTATGTGTAAAGTCGTTATGGAACTGCACACTTGGCAATTAAGTGTACTCGGCGCTTGTTGTATTCTGTGCAATGTAACGTCATTAGGCAGACAATGTGTTTGTGCTTCGCTTAAAAGCGAGGTTCCCTTTCTATAAAAAGCTTCAGGTAGTCTAGAAAGTTTTTTTTGGACTATTCAGAGGAATTACCACCAGGGTGGTTTATTCAAATTGGGTAAAAGACGGGAGGACACACTCGAATCGTAAGTTCTATTCTGCTGTATTACGCTGCAGGAAAACTAAAGATGAAAAGAAGGTCGTAGAAGAAATGGCAGGCATGCGTAAAATAAGTAGAGGGAGATAATGAATTGGGGAATTATTGCCCTAAACAGGCCACTGTGATGCGCAATTTTGATACTGCATTTTTACTTGTTGCGAAGACAGTATATTGAGGTGTAATCCAGCCCGTGTCCTTCGTACAATGTGCCACTCTGCGAGAGATGGCAGTAGTAAATGAATAGCCTAAATAACCACTAAATTACTTCAGATAATTATTTTATTCTAAAAAAGTCACAGCTTTGCCGCAAAAGCAAAGCGATGAACGCAATAGCAACAAAGTGGAAGGTCACGCGCAAAATTGAAAGCAGATCGAAATGTGCCCCGCGTTTCTCATGCACAAAGGACGCATTAAATGTACGCACAGATACAGAATAACTCTAATAAGCGTTTCAGTTGTTACTTCGCTGTGTCTGAAAAGCATGCCCTTTTTGTAAACAGAGGCTGTGCAACGATTGCAGTGACCTTTGTGCGCCTGGTAACTACAACAGAATCGTTCTGACGAAACTCAAAGGCTAGCCAAGACGTACGATTCTCCCCACTGTAAGATAAGGGCTCGCAATCGAGCGAGCACCCCCTCATTTTCTTGGCGGGCCAAAGTATGCGCGAGAGATGATAGCCACCGCGCGCCCACTGCGCCATCTCGCTGATATTTCTGAAAACACGATAGTCCACCCCCCCACCCCCACCCCATCGAGATGACCGCCAACAGCGGTATCGTAATTACTCGAATCTAACGCGCACCTTTTTACCGGTTAAGCGAGTTCATAAATCGCATGCGCGTTAAAATCGAGTACGAAAAAAAATGAATACGGTCATTCCCTTGCCATCGACATTTTCAAAATGGCCGCCCCATACGTGCGTCGGCATGGCGCGGCAGCCATTTCTGCCTATGTGTTTCCCATGTGCGGCACTTCGTACGTGTACTGTGGAGTTCGTCATCTTGTAGTGCATTAGCGTCGACGGCATAGAAGGGCAGACTCCAAAAACTCGAGTGCACCACGATGCCACTTTTAAAAGAAAAGTCATCGCGTGTGCAGAAACGGACGGAAATCGGGCCACATCGCGGTCTTTCCGAGTTCCGGAAACGTGCGTGCGAGACTGGCAGAAACAAAAGCAGAAGATTGTGTAGGTGTTCTGTGAGATTGTCGACAGAAAAGCTTCACGCAAAGGCTTCAGTAGACCACAGCAAGGTCGGTTTCCGCAAATTGAAGAGCTGCTCGGCGAGTATGTGTTTGAGAAGCGAGCGGCCCGTGACGACAAAACTGCTCCAAGTGCGGGCTATGCAGTTAGCCTTAGAAAAAGGGCTAATGCGGAGCCAGTTGAAAGCGAGCAGGTGCTGGCTAACTAACTTTATGAAGAGGAAAGGCTTTTCCCTCCGAAAGCGAACGGGCATATGCGAAACGTTTCTGGAGGAGTACGATGAAAAGCTTCACAGTTTTTAGAGGTTCGTCCTAAACTTGCAGCACAGCAATGGCTACATGCTTGGGCAAATCAGGAATGCCAATCAGACGCCTCTTTACTTCGACATGCCTGCCACCACAACCGCCGAGAAGGAGGCGAAGCAAGTTCGCGTGCTGACATCGATCCACCGTAAAACTACAGTGACGGCAATGCTCTGTTACACGTCAGATGGGCACAAGCTTCCGCCGTACCTCATATTTAAATGGAAGACACTCCCGAAAGGAGTGGTTTTTTCAAGCGGTGTCATCGTGCGGGCCAACGAGAAAAATGGGTGCGCGTAGCAATCGATGTCTTGTTTTTCTTTTTTTTTGTCGTGGAAACCGGGTGCCCGTTAGAATTGAGGGCACGGTAGAATCGAGTAAATACGGTAAGTGGTAGTTATGAATAGCTTGCCATTTGAACGTTGAAGGAGATACCTCTCGGTGGCTCAGTGGTTAACGCCACGCATTCGGGTCGCGGAAGTCCCCCGTTTGATTTCGCGCGTGGAAGTCTTTCTGCTGGGATTTTTTTTCTTTCTTGTGTTTTCCTATATATAGATACGTATACATGTACAGTGCATGACATCGACGCCGGCATCCACGTCGACGCCGGAATACAGCTGAGAGTGTCCATATAATTGCTGTCACAAAAAAAAAGAAATGGAGCATTGCCAACAATACAGAACATGTAGGTTGCTAAGATGTGCAACTCACTCTGTTGTTTTTGTTTCTTTCATCCATAATTTGCTGGAACAACTCTCTGAAGTAATTGTAGCGCATGGTAGTCTTCACTTTAATGTTGAGGCTCTCAAGCAGACCTGGGAAAAGCACTGGAATGAAGTTTAGTAGACTGTCAGTCATCAATCAAGTGTAATGTATGCAGGTATTCTCTTCCTTTAAAATTTTGTTTTTGTATAACCTTCGGAACGCACTATAGCACACTGTGGGCCACTCCCACATTGAAATATGGATATAATCGTAAAGTTATTCGTCTCTCAAACGTTTTCTGAAGTACTTACAAGTAATAATCAAATGACCTCACTATGACAGTTCATTTTATCACAAATATATTGCCGCAAAAAGCTTTTGCATCTTTCAAATGCGATTCATTTTTCGCCCGGTTCAAGCGCGTTTTCTGTCATTTCGCCCCGCAAGTGCGCCGGCAGCTGCACAGCAGGAAACGACAAACAAGTGAGGAGTTTGAGCTATTCTTGTTTAGTTCTTTCTTTGGATAGTCTTTCTTGGTATAATTCGACACAGAAATATTGGTCTGTGCGTGTATGTGTATGTGTGTGTGTATTTTTGCTTATCTGTCTGTCAACCGTTTCCACCACCGAACGATAGTGTAACCTTATGCTGAATGATCACCCATCTCGGTTTCTTGGCTGTGTTCATGCTAGTGAAAATAAGACAGATTTAGTTGCATGCCTGCAGGAGCGGCACGGACGCAGCCTGCCATTGCAAATGGCCAGCAGGCTGCGTCCATACAGCTGCTATGGATGCGCAACTAAATCTGTCTATTGTGAATCAAAAAGAAAATCTTGTGCTGCATTGGGTGCAACATCAATACGTGCACGTTGGGAGTGTCACTTCACTGCTAAAATACATAGATACATAATTCCATAGACTACAGTGCACAGAGCTTCATATTATTATTGTATGAAACTCTATGCCACAGTGATTATTACGCGGCGCTAGCAATGTGACGCAATGAACGAAAAAGAGCGCTTTCATCGCTTCACTAAAGGTACATAGTGTTGCCATTTCAGTACCCTTGCGTTCCAGAAAAACTTTCCTGTTTCAAACTACTCCTATAGATGGCACGCAGTGTAGGGAGCCTTCATTTGCACATGTTCTCGTTTTTTAGGGTCGTGACAAGTTCGATCATCATTGCTTTCGACACGCTAAAACGGCCGCCATACTTCAGAGGTCGCGACGTTGGTTTTCAGATGTTGCTCATTTACAGTGAAGGTTGCGTGGTTTCAACGAGAAGAGGGTGAATTTTTTTATATAGCAAGTTCTGAAAGGTGGAGAGTCGTTTTTTGAAGTTAGCTGCCTTTTGTACAACAGAAAAAAATCACAGCATATTCAAGGAGTGAATGATGATGAGTGGGGCGAATTGTCTGCCAGTCCGTGCTTCCGTCCATCCGCTTGTTATTGCTCCCATCCTTCAATACATCCGTCCGTGCGCCTGTCTAGCTGTCCATCCGTCCGTCTGTATGTCTGATTGTGCGGACAGCTTTTTCCATCAGCTAGAGCAAGTAGGAAAGCGGAACAGTCTTCGGATGGTTTTGCTTTGCAGCAAGCAGCACCGTGGCATTTACACTGCAAAGTTATTGTAGGGACGCTTAGCGCGAGGATGGTGTCTTAGCAGAAGCTAGGTCTACGGTGTAGTCAAACGCAGCTCATACCGCAGCTTGCACACCCACTCCTACATGCAGCTGGTGCAGTGCAGCATAGCAAGAACGCTTGGCCACGGAACAAACTAGGCACTTGTTGTCATAAAAACAGGGACGTAAAACATTGTGTTTTAGCAGCTAACTACAATATGATGGGTCAAAGGCTGACACCAACCTCAGAAACAAGGACGCGCGCACATGTCTCGCCAAAGCAGTTCCTACTCGCCAATTTTCTCGCACAGAACATCAAACAAATCTTCGATTCTCCTTCTCCAGACAGAAGAGTATTGTCTTTTGGTGACCTTTGCCAGCAAAGCATGCAAATACGCAGCCTTCTATTCTTTCTTTGAATTCGTCGGCTCACATACGGTTTGACCACAAATGTGCTAATGTTGATACTGTGTGCTTTTGGCACATTACAGAGCGCAGCGCTGGCATGTGGCGACCATTGAGTTTCCTTAAATTAACTAAAGGGGACTCCGGCACTGCGATCGCTCAGCGGCCATGGGAATGATGGGTTGTACACCGCTTTGCCTAGTCTTTGTACTTGTGGGTGGCGGGTTGCACTTGTCGCTTTCATTATTGATGTGTTCCGATTTTGTTTTGAAAAAAAGAAACAACTGTCTTGAACATATAGTGACCCGATTTGAAATGGTAAGCCTAAAGGAACAAGGTGATGAATAGCAACCACTGACCATTTTCTGATTTTTGTTTTGTGTAAAAATAGCTCCAAGCCAAATGAAAGCACACAAAGCCAGAAGTACGAAGATGAGACAAATCCGTGGACTATCCATAATTCCTGAGCTCGCTGAAGTGCTGTACGTTGGAGCTACCATAGACGCTAGCGCCAAAGTTCCCTCTAGTGTATATTTAGGGAACTCTATGATGGCGACAACCTGTGACGACTGCGATAACTATGCAGCAAACGATTTCTCATATCAGTCAATGACGATGTCCACCGACTTATGACATAGTCGGGCTTGACGAGAGAAGAGCGAGCGATTTGTAAGTGTCTTCAAAAAGTGATTGCAAATTCCTTGCCCTGCACAGCCTTGCATATAGGGTTCTCGTGCTCGTAGAAACCTCGAGTACTCATCAGCAGTGTTTTCTGACCACGTTCAAAAAGTGTCCAGAGCCTCTTTAAGCATAGCATACAGAGAAAGTAAACTGAAGGCGCTCCTACAAGAATGGAAGGCAAACTTAGTCGGTGAACTCCACTGAAGACACCATTGACAAGCTGCCTTTTGCGCTGCGAGAACAAGCGAGGAAATCTATCACGAAGCAATATATAATCAGGAGATAGGGGAAGCTTTCTGATGTCAAGTGAAGGCAGCTTAAGTGTACATATTATTTGTGAGTGTGTATGGGATCATCGTGTACATCATAGTCATCAACCCATGTGTAGAGCAGCTAGCCAGATGATAAACCAGGTGAACATCTCTTAGAAATCCCTTAAATAATGTTATCTGAAGGCTTCTTACTTGAAATTATCTGCGTAGGACTGAAGTCCATCTTGAATGCCTTCTCGGACGCCATCACAAACTGGTTAGTTGCGTTAGCTTGTGAATCAAGCTGGGTCCCGAAGGCACATCGAGCAATAACATCAAGTGCATAATGGCCGTAAAACCTGCGTGTGATCAGAAATATAAAAATGCTAACTGGAAACGCATGCCATCACGCTTTCAATTTTAACCCACAAATACACAACTCCGTATTTATATATTGCATATTTTATAATGCTGGAATAAAATTTCTACTGTTATTGAAAACAGCTTCGATTATTGAAAGCTTTGGCATTTATTCTTGCAGTTTTCACCATTGAAGTCTTGCGTTTTAACTAGCTGATATTATTCAAAAAAATTGCAGTTAGTCTACGCTCTTTTGCAGTATTTCTCAGTAAATGTCATTTGCAGTCACTTATTGATTTTTACCCGTATTTGTCAACACACTGGTGGAAGATGATCAGAAAAGATGACAAATTTACGTAGTAACAGCATGATAGTTGGTTGACTGAAATTTTTGGTGATCAAGAAAGTGTGCAAACTAGACTATGCCCAAAGAGTGTGATCACAGACTATGCCCACAGACTGCGCATAGACTATTATAAGCCCAATAGTCTATATACGTACATAGTGCCTCTAATTAATTTTTCGTATCCGTGTGTGTATCTTGCACATTACCACCACAATGTTGGGATAGCCGGCTCTAACCTAGCCTACCATACCATATTGTTTGCCAAACATGAATAACAAAAAAAGTGTACAAGCAGGACCTGTATTTACAAAAAATGAAACTTATGACGAAACTTTGCAAAGATGTTTAGCTATCATTCATCATCATCATCATCATAATCAGCCTGACTACGTCCCCTGCAGGACAAAGGCCTCTCCCGTGTTCCGCCAGTCAACTTGGTCCTGTGCTTGCTGCTGCCAATTTATACCCGCAAACTTCTTAATCTGCCCGTCTAACCTTCAGTCTCCCCCTAACCCACTTGCCTTCTCTAGGAATTTTAGTTAGTTACCCTTAATGACCAGTGGTTATCCTTTCTACGTGCAACATGCCTGGCCAATGTTCATTTCCTCTTCTTGATTTCAACTATGATATCCTCAACCCCAGTTTGTTCCCTAATCCACTCTGCTCTCTTCTTGTTTCTTAAGGTTACACCTACCATTTTCCTTTAGATTTCTCGCTGCGTCGTCCTCAATTTAAGCTGAACCCTCTTTGTAAATCTCCAGGTTTCTGCTCCGTAGCTAAGTACCGGCAAGATGCAGCTGTTATATACCTTCCTCTTGAGAGATAGTGGCAATCTACCTGTCATGATTTGAGAGTGCTTGCCAAATGTGCTCCACCCGACCTTCTAGTTACTTCAGTCTCGTGGTTCTGCTCCACGGTTATTAGGTTAGGCATAATATGAATGTATCTTAGATCTCATTATTGTTGTTTAACAAAGATAACAAGCCGTTAAGGGCCGTTCCATGCGCTGGTTGCCCAGCCGCAACGCACATGCCAGGACAGCAGCCGCACACAAGGAGGGGGGGGGACAAATGAGCGAATGGGCGACTCTCTTTCACCCTCCACTTGGGCACGGCAGGTGTGCCGGCATGTGCGTTGCAGATGGGTGGCTAGCGCATGGAATGGCCCAAAGTGTGCATTTCTTTCTATCGTTATGTTAGACCTACTATGATCGAAAACGGCTACCAATGGCTAGCAGCAGTTGCGATCTCGACTGTTTTTCTTTTCAGTTCTTGCCCCCCAGTCTCAACATTCTGAAGGATTACAGGAGCATTGAACTTTAGATTTCTGAAGTTGATGCGTAAGACATAACGAGAAAAACCTGTATGCGTATGTATCGTTTAGTAGACCAATCAAAATGAAGCATTTATATGAAGGTTTGCTCAAAGTTGCAAGTGTGCAGCACATAGACGCACATTGTGAAGATAATTATAGTCTGAGATAAATATATATCACAGTGATAAGGTTGCAAAACTTAAGTGATGGCAGCGTCTGCATCTTCCTTGCCCTTTCATCTCACTAACGCTAGCTACTAAGTTTTCGTGCACAAGCTACACAAAGCCTCAGAGTTCTTTCAAGTATTGAGTCTTTCAAGTATTGAGGCTTAGAGATGCCATTGTGATTAACTTGCGCAAGTATGCGCACACATCATGCACTTTCTATAAATATATTGATGGATGATGTAGCGTCTGTAGTGGGCTAGCAAGTTTTACACCCGCTTGGTGGTAATCGGATACTGCTTACCTTTTCATGTCGTCGTCCCTCGCCTCCTCTGCGGCTGCACTGAGGTGCTCGCAGGTGATCTTCACGCAATCTTGGATTAACGCATGCATCTGCATTAAGTATAGATAGGAAGTGCACTGCTCACAGAACTATTCTGCTGCTCGAGCTTCAAATATTTTATTGTGATGCTAGGTGCTTCTTGTAAGTAGAGCCACATTTCAAGCAGCCTGAGCAAGGTTGTGGGATGTATGTTTGTCCACTGCTAGGGCTGTACTTTAAAGCTTTGCAAGCAGTTTGCAGCCATTTCCAGCGTAAAAATAGCGTGTGGCAGGGCTAGCTACTCTAGCTTCAATATTTTAATAAACATATCACTGTTCTTGAAATCAGTGTCCCTCCCTCTGGGGCATCCAGCTTTCTCTTTCTTCACAATTATTAGAAGGTGCGGAAATTTTACAGGATTCAGTGATGTCTGAGTTACAGATACTTGTACCGACAATTCATTCTATACCCTCGTTTTCCCATACTGACAGATTATATTTGCTATAGGCAGCAAGCATTTGCTGGTAAAGTGGGTGTTTGGGCCAGTTGCTACGATATACTTCATCTAAAAATGGTCTTCTTTTACTGTTCATCAGTCTTTGGCCCTCTTTTCATGTGAAGCAAAGTCTGCTTCCAGTCATTTTGTATGTACTAACATAGCGCTTTTTGTCTTTTCTTAGCTTAAAGTTGCAGAGCAATGATGATACCATAACTGTGATGTATTTAAATGATACAGAGCTGTATCGTACGCTCTATACTAATGCGTGACATAAACAAACCTAACCATGTGACCTGGGACATCGTAAGCACATGTGCTCTCCACTTTACAAAGAATATAACGAAAACCACGCTTACACTTTTCTAAAATCTTTTTGCATACTGCATCAATTCGGCATGCTTGTTTCTGATGAGCTATGCAAAACACGCTCTTTTGACTAATGCTTCTGTGTAAGAGAGGACAATCTTTTGTGCTCAAGACAAGCCCGTGTACATATTACAAATCTCAAACATTCTCTACTATAATTTATGCATTTCCTGATTTTAGGAAAAGTGCATTTTGAACCAGAAGTTTCATTGGCACACTGAAAACAGATATTCAGAATTATTTTTTTACTTACGAAACAGCAGTAAAGAGCGACGGCTTCGTAAAACTTTCAAGTACTTACGCTCAACATGTGTTATACTTGACCAGTAATTTCTCGTTCACAATAATGTACGATTATTGTACCCTTCATCAAAGGTTACAGTACACTTGTCACATGCATAAATTATCAGCAAGTGACGATTCGGTAGAATTTTACAACCTTGCGGGGGTATGCTAAACCAGCATTGATGACGGCTAGCTATCCATACACTAAATTTGTATCGCTTGTATTTCTGTCCCTCATCGTTTTATTACCCTTAATCTTGCAGACTTCGTAGCTTCAGAATTCTAAGCCAAAAAACTTGAGCCATGGTCATGAGTGTCGATGGCGCAGAAGGGAACAAAGTCATTGCTAGTGTGCAGGACAGCCTGAAAAAATCTCCTCAAAGCGTAATGTTTCCCTCCAAGTGTGCGTGCAATCTCTTTATCTCTTTCATGCTCTCGCTCTCCCACTCTGTTGCGTTTCATCTGCTTTCTGCCTTTTCCGTTTGATGATGATGATGATGGTAGATTTTAGTTGCGCAAGGGCAACTCAGGCCAAAGAGTGCCAAACACAGGGGTTTTTCGTCGGTTCAGTTATAGAAAAAAAATCTACTCAGGGTGGCAAGAATAAAAGAGTGGAGCATAGGGATTAAACTTAAGTGTAATGACTATGTGTGATGAGTTTAAAACGGTCTAAACCTATGGGTTTTTTAAAAGTCACGCAGTGGCGCCAGAGGTCCTTGTCAGGACAAGGAGTGCGTGCTGCATGACATTTGGCAAAGAAGTCTCAGCGGTTCTCTCAGGATTGAGAGAGGGCTGAGATTAGTGAGAATATGTAATGGAATGCAGGAATCCAACATCTGGACGGAGAGGTCTAGATTAGTGAGGAATATGTAATGGAATGCAGGGACTCAAAACTCAGCTAAAAACTTAAAATAATTTTGAGGGAAACGTGGGATCGTCAACAAGAAAAAATAAAGTGTGAGGTGGTATGTGCATTTGAATGAAACTATACCACCCTTTGGAAGGACGCAGTCTCTGGTTCAGGTCAGGCGCAGGCGCATATTAAACGTGAACGACAGATAGCACATCATCACATTTTTCACAATGCGGTGCTGGAGAGTTGCTTAAAAGGTGCGAATGTGTTGCATGTGTGTGTCCAATCCTGAGTCTGCACAGTGCAACCTCTTGATGCCTGTTACGTTTTTCAAGAGCATATCTACCTATTCTTGGCTTTACTGTGTGCAATTTGTTTTAAATTGCTGCGTTCCATTTCTCTTGCCATTGCCTACGCATTCGGTTTCTGGTTTGCGGCCTCAAGTCCTCATACGGGATGACGACTACGTCTACTGTTGGGCGGAGTGCAGCGGACTTCACCAGTCGGTCCGCTGCCTCACTGCCAGCTATGTTGCAGTGTCCCGGAATCCAGCATAGCGTGATTTTAAGCTTGGATCTGTAGGCTGACATGAGGCAGTTCAGAAGGGTATTAGTCACTGGATTTTTATACGCCTTTGCGGAAGACAACGCAGTCACTGCACTGAGGGAATCTGTGTATATGATGGAGGCTGGTTCTTTCTTCTTTAAGATGTGCCATATAGCTAGCAGTATGCCATAGCACTCAGCAGTAAATATGCTGGTATGTTCATTCATTGTTGCAGATTCAGAGTACGCCGGGCCGTATGCAGCACATGCGACGGCCGAGGATTCGGAAACATCAGTGTAGTACTCAGCACACTTGTATTTTGCCTGCAAGTACATAAAATGCTGATCGATTGCGACTAGGAGGCCATGCTTTCCTACCTCTAGGAATGACAAGTCACAATTGATAGCTTGCATTTCCCATGGTGCCACAGTGTCCTTGTGAGAGCTTAGCTGAAGATTAGAGACAGGTATATGCGGATTTTCAAAGTGTGAGGCCACTCTGATGGGATACATTGGCGTTGCTGATGGTGGCCTCAAAAACAGGTGGGTGTTTGATGTATCCTGCAATAGTTTGCAAGATGGGTGGTCGACATGGGAAAGCACCTTGCTTGCATACTTGATGCTTGTGTACTGCCGTCGTCATTCTAATGACCACCGATCTGTCTCAAAATACAGGCTGGCTGTTGGGCTGGTTCAAAAAGCACCACTAGCAGACGAAGCCCATGGTGATGCACTGGGTCAAGCATCTTAAGTGCGAATCTCGATGCTGATTCGTATACAACCGAGCCACAATCAATACGTGAGAGCACTACACTACTGAGAAGGTTTAATAGACAGTCACATCTGTACCCCATGACTGATGCGAAAGAATCTTGAGCAAGTTCAAGGCTTTCAAGCATTTCAGTCGCAGCTGCTTGATGTGTGGGACAAAGCTGAGCTTTTCATCCATCACAACACCTAGAAATTTATAATCCTTCTTAGTAGCAATGGTGTGTCCATTCATTTAAATGCTGGGGGGTGGCCTTATGCCACGTAGTTTTGAAAAGAGTGGGCAAACAGTCTTGTCACAGTTAAACTTAAAATCATTTTTGTCTGCCCAGCTTGAGAGCTTATTTACTGCCAACTGAATCTGACGCTCGCAGATGGCTAGGTTGCACGATTTGAAGCTGATCTGAATGTCATCCACATATACAGAGCAGGAGATTGTTTTAGGCAGTATAGTGTTTATGGAGTTCATTTTTACAATGAATAATGTGCAACTGAGAACGCCACCTTGGGGGACACCAATTTTCCTGCGTAAACCACTTTGAAAGAACATTTCCAACACGAACCACGAACGTACGTTCAGAAAGGTAGCTTTCAATTGTATTCAGCATGTTTCCTGACACTCCAAGAGATTGCAAGTCACGGAGAATGCCATAACACCATGTCGTGTCATAAGCCTTCTCCAAGTCGAAAAATACAGAAAGGCAGTGGTGTTTGTGAATGAAGGCATCCCTGACGTAGGTTTCGAATGCTACCAGTATGTCAGTTGTTGGTTAGCGTACGTTCTTCCAGAGAATAGTGACACCTTCTCCCCGGCTTCAGAGAATGTGATGTTTTCCATTACTTTTATCTGGATGATTTCCTTTTCCTTTTTGAAAATTTCACATGTCCACGAGTACGCTGCGTGCGGCCCATGACAGTTAGGGCACTCTGTTTGCGTGGAAGTACAGCTCTCAGTTGGGTGCTCATGATCACCACATTTTGCACATGTTTGTTTTCCGCGACAGGTGTTCGACCCATGTCCGTATTTCTGGCATTTGTAGCACCTTCTAGGGTTGGGTATGTAGGGGCGGACTTTGCAGTGAAGGAACGCAGCTTTCACGGATTCGGGCAGAATGGAGCGGTTAAATGTTAGTATTATATGAGGCGTCACCACTTCTTCATTGTTTTGCCTGATGGTTATCCGACGGATGGCCACAACGCCTTGTTCTCGAAAGCGTTCAAGGAGGTCAGCTTCGGTTTCTCGCTTCAGATCACGTTGTGAAATAACGCCTTGAACAGTGTTAAAACTGCGTTGGAGGGTGATGGACACGTTCAGGTGGGCAAACTGCTTTTGTTTCAGGAGAGTGTTTGCATGCTGTTTCTGGTTTACTTCAACAAGAAGATCACCGGATGACAGTTTCTTTGCGTCGTACTTTTTGCCTATTAGGTTAGCAAGGGTTTTAGCTATCAGGAAAACCGACAGTCCTGCAACAGAGACGTTATCTGCCAGATAACTGCAAGAAGGCGTGGGAAGTGGTCACAATCGGTTCCGGTTCGTTTGGAGCTTTCATCGGTACGTTCTTTTTCAGGGACCGATCATTGAGAAGGGGGAAAGATTTTGCCATGTGGAGCATTTGATGTTCGGCGGCGATGCTGACTACCCACCACCGAGCCCAACAGGGAGACGCTACAAAGTAGAACACTTGAAGGCGCCAGTAATACATCGCTGCTATAACCAGATATAACTACCCAAGGTTGGGTAACTACACAAGGTTAACCCTTGCCACCAGGAAATTTGGAAGTAAACGGAAGATAGGAGATGACAGGACAGATAAAAAAGTAAGAGATAAAGACGAAGATGAGAGAGGAGAGAGATAGGAAAAGGCGATTGCCGATTTCCCCTGGGTGGGTCAGCCCAGGGGTGCCGTCTACGTGAAGCCGGGACCAAAGGAGTGTGTTGCCTCTGCCGGGGGGCCTTAAAGGTCCAATCACCCGGCGTCGACTCAACCCCCAGGATCCCCTTTTCCCTGGACATGGCAAAGCCATGCACGGCTAGGCGTGGGAGGGAGTTGAAACCCCGCCGTTAGCTCGGGTCCGTGGTGTCGCTACACCTTTGCCATTTCCTTTTCGTCAACGAGAAGTAGCAAACTAGAAATGTACCTCCCTGAAAAAAACTGGCAGATCCCACGTACAGTGGGAATCGATGACATGCGAAGCATGAATGAGAATTGAGAAATGTTGATATGCCACTTTAAAATCAGCACAACGTTACAGGGTGGACGTAAATGATGCCGTACATGATTTCCATGTCATGCTTATCATGTTTAGATGTGTCGCCTACTTTCGTCATCTATTCACGTCACGTGATGCCAAGTTTAGTATATGTGGAGCTAGTGAAACGGCCACGAGCACGCTATGAGCATGGTATGTTGTCATGTTCTTACATCACGTGTGCCTTAGGATTATCATGTTTGCACCAGCCATATATTTCGTCATTCAATGACGTCACATAACACCATATTTGGTATAGCCAGCAAAACAGCCGCCAGAGCATCATGAATGGCCCAATATACTCCAATGTAGCATTCACGCGCGCGCTCACTCGTCAAAGCAACACAACGTTAGCAAAACGCAAGCCCTCTATAGTCTGATGCCAGGCGCAACCAGGGTCCATCGCCGCGGCCCGACAGCAACCGGCGCGAAATGCGACATGCTGCATTTCGCACCGATGCGTTACCCAGACAACACTGCATCTCCCTGTTTTCGTCACGGAGGGACACCGAACGCACATTCATCAAAGCAACACAGCGCATCGCGCACCTGTGAGTATATGGCAGAATTGGCGCCTGGCGTGGCAACGCCGGCGTGACGCGACGAAATGAACGCCGGTGAGCACGCGCATCATGTCACGTCGAAATGTATTGGCACCTTGACTGTAGCATGCAGTCATGTTCTCACATGACACGCATCTCATGATTATCATGTATGTACTAGTCACATACATTCGCCATCCGTTGGCATCACGTAGTACCAAATTTGGCACAAGTGAAGCTAGCGAAACGTACGCGAGCGCATCATCAGCGTGGCATATAGTCACGTTGTTACATGACATGCATGTCATGATTATCATGTTTGGATGTGTCATTTACCTCTGTTGTCTGTTCACGTCGCATAATACCAAGTTTGGTACATGTGAAGCTTAGTACATGGGATGATACATGTGATACAAGTTTGGTACGTTTGGTACATGTGATACCAAGTTTGGTACATGAGCATAGCATGTAGTCATATTGTTACATGACACACATCTCATGATTATCATGTTTGCACCAGTCACATACCTTCGTCATCCATTCACGTATTGTAATACCAAATTTGGTATATGTGATGCTAGCGAAACGGCCACGAGCGCATCATGAGCGTAGCGTGCAGTCATGTTGTTATATGACAAGTATGTCATGATATTTATGTTAGGGTCTGTCGCTTGTGTTCGCCATGAAATCATGCCATACCATACCAGTTTTGCAACATGCCATGTGAACAAAACCACCACAAGAGCTGCAGGACCATGAAATGTAAGTCATGACATACGTGTCATGATTTTCATGTTATGACCAGTCAAATATGTTCTTCATACAGTCGTGTTATGCCATACGAAGTTTGGTCTTGACACCTTTATCAAAACGGCCAGGAGAGCTAAAAGTTGTAGGCGGCTAGACAGACATACGTACGGACAGACGGAGGGACGGATGGATGGATGGACGGATGGATGGATGGACGGATGGATGGATGGACGGATGGATGGATGGATGGATGGATGGATGGATGGATGGATGGATGGATGGATGGATGGATGGATGGATGGATGGATGGATGGATGGATGGATGGACACGCTAAAGTCCCCGAAGCTCGCTAAGAAATGCTTCACATTTGAAAACCTGTCTCTACTTGACTCTCATCTTTCTTCTTATATATGATAGAATCGACATACCTTTCGTAGTTTTCCCGTCGTGAATGCTGGGCTAGACGCTGGTCGTATTCTTCTCCAGCGGTCCAGGCGGGCAAACACCATCATGTTATTAAGGATAGGATCCGCGAAATTCATTTCCTGTGAGAGAGAAAAAATGCTCTCTAATAGCAAAACGTTCACGTGCATATAGTAAAGTTGTTGAACGCAGCTTTACGAAAAAGGCAGCGCAGTGAAGTGTAACAACAGCGGCGAACTTTGGACCCTGGTCAAAGATTAACAATGCATCTAAGCAGTTTAAAGCGGTGCTGTTTTGCAAAACCCCCTTGGTGTTCTGGGAGCAATAGGCGCTGGTTTGTTACCGAGGAATGCGTCTGACTGACTCCACAGGATCAAGTTACCAAATGGTCTTTAGAAACAGTAGTGACCACTTGATTTTCTATGGCAGTCTCTGACAAAGTTCTCAAACTCTAACGTTGGTGTCAGGTTATTATTATTATTTTTGCATTTTGTTGCAAGATTCAGTTGAGATATCGACAGTCATGCCAGCACTGCGTAATCAGTGCGTCCATGAAGTCTATATAAACACACTGCAAGAGATCTGTAGAGGATCCACAGCCAGTCCTCCATGAAAAAAGCAACAAAATGTCAGTAAAGAATGGTGTAGGCAGGGAGACAGAATCTGTGCAATGCTATTCATTGTCTGTTTCCAGGAGCTTTTCAGGACCCTGTATTGAGAACACCACAAAAAAGTACTGTTCACGAATAAGCAAGTCCACAGAGCACGAGTAAACAAAACATAAATATTAAATCTAATATGTCTCGAAAAATTGCAGCATATCCACAGAGTGAATGGTGATCTGTGGGGCGAAGCTTCGGAGGGTTTTATGAGTTAACCGTGAATTTTCTGTCTGTCTGAGTATGTATGTACGTATGTCCGCCCGTCCACATCTACTCAGAGATTCATAGAAATTAAGCGGTCACGTACCAAAACAGACATGCATGTAGAGAACCCTAGCTTGAGGAGCTTTGCCCCTAAAATGCGTCCACCACCAGTTTTCTTGTGATATTCTAATCAAGATAAAAGCGTGTTATGACCTTTATTAGCATCCCTGTAATTAAGTTTACAAAAACAGCTAGACAACTTAAAGCACCGTAACTTATATTCAAGAGGAAGTAGTAATGAAGGGCTAACAAATTCTCACTCCTCACCAATCTATTTGGCAATAAATTGAAATCCTTGACGAGCACTTGCTTCACTAGTTCTGGCTCCGCTACCATCAGGGCTGGTTTGGTTCCTTCGAAGTACCTAAAAATAAAAGGTAAAGCACATAATGTATGAATCACATATAGTGTCCACTAACAGGAGTGCAAAAGTCATCCAGACTCTAAGAAAGCGACAGAAGATGAAAAAAACTATACTTCATTGTAGCAGTCCTGCTAATAGTTGTTCATACTGTTTGTTTACACATGGCAGACAAAGTACAACTTTCGTTTCGTGTCTGCACTGTGATGCCCACCAGCGAACAGGAGTCCCATCTGCTGGTAGACAAGCCGCCTGTCTCACAGATGCAAGACTGCTTTCACCACAGATGCCGAATAATATCAATTCTGAAACGCATGTGTATTCGCATCAGAACCAATTTTCCATTACAGATACTAACTCAGCGCAATGCGCTAGTGCTTATGCATCATTGCACATTGTACTGCAAAGCTCGATAGCCTCCATGCCCATGCTGACGAGCGTGCTCAAATTAAGACTTACTGTTCCACGTTGTGGCATGATAAGGTGTCGTTACACAACTATATGCGCAATGAAGACAGCACTCACCCGAAGAGTCTCCCATATTTCCGGCACCTCTCTTGATCCGCCAAGCATATCGGCTGCGTTGTTAAGAGAAACTTAATGCATCAGCATATTCTGCACGAATTACTTCATTAAAAACAAGTCTATTAAAGCTGCAGCTGGTTGTACATGGACATAAGACATAAAGAAAAAAAACGTCTGATGCGATTCATGTTATGTCAAGTTGCGCGCGGCTGTAAAAGTTGCCAGTTAATCCATACGAGAACCAAGTTTCTTCAGGATCATTTTTTTTTTATTCCTGGGACTAATTATTTTCTTTAAGGTGGCATAATGTAGATTACACTACGACCTCACATTGGGTGTTTTTTTTTAATTCTGGGAATAATACTTTTCTTCAAAATGACATAATTTAATCTACACTACGACCTCCCATTTCGTACTGATGTCACCTAAATAAATGTGTACATAGATACGTGAATATTACTACTTATTTTCCAGATTGGCAAGCACGATATATATAAAGATATTACAAATTAGAGTTGAATTAATCAATACACTTATATTTGATATATCACCATCAGCCTGACTACGTCCACTGCAAGACAAAGGCCTCTCCCATGTTCCGCCAGTTAACCCGGTCCTGTGCTTGCTGCTGCCAATTTATACTGGCAAACTTCTTAATCTTATCTGCCCACCCAACCTTCTGTCTCCCCCTAACCCACTTGCCTTCTCTGGGAATCCAGTTAGTTACCCTTAATGACCAGCGGTTATCTTGTTCATGCTCTACATGCCCGGCCTATGTCCACTTCCTCTTTTTGATTTCAACTATGATATCCTTAACCCCTGTTTGTTCCCTAATCCACTCTGCTCTCTTCTTGTCTTTTAAGGTTACACCTACCATTTTTCTTTTCATTTCTCACTGCGTCGTCCTCAATTTAAGCTGAACCCTCTTTGTAAGTCTTCAGGTTTCTGCTCCGTAGCTATCGTGAGGGATAGTAGCAATCTACCTGTCATAATTTGAGAGTGCTTGCCAAATGTGCTCCACCCCATTCTTATTCTTCTAGTTACTTAAATCTCGTGGTTCGGCTCCGCGGTTATTACCCGCCCTAAGTAGACATAATCTTTTACAACTTGAAGTGCACTATTACCTATCTCAAAGCGCTGCTCTTTTCAGACGCTGGTCGTATTCTTCTCCAGCGATCCAGGCGGGCAAACACCATCATGTTATTAAGGATAGGGTCCGCGAAATTCATTTCCTGTGAGAGGGAAAAAATGCTCTCTAATAGCAAAGGGTTCGCATACATATTGTAAAGTTGTCGAACGCAGCTTTACAAAAAAGGCAGTGCAGTGAACTGTAACAACAGCAGCGAACTTTGGACCCTGGTTAAAGATTAACAAAGCATCCAAGCAGTTTAAAGCGGTGCTGTTTTGCAAAACCCCCTTAGTGTTTTGGGAGCAATAGGCACTGGGTTGTTACCGAGGAATGTGCCTGACTGACTCCACAGGATCAAGTTACGAAATGGTCTTTAGAAACAGTGGTGACCACTTGATTTTCTATGGCAGCCTCTGACACAACAAAGTTCTCAAACTCTAATGGTAGTGTCAGGTTATTAATAATATTTTCGCGTTTTGTTGCGGCTACTTTAACAAGATTCGGTTGAGATATCGGCAGTCATGTAGGCACTGCGTAATCAGTGCGTCCATGAAGTATATATAAACACACTGCCAGAAATCTGTAGAGGACCCACAGCCAGTCCTCCATGAAAAAAGCGACAGAATGCCAGTAAAGAATGGTGTAAGGCAGAGAGACACAATCTCTGCAATGCTATTCACCGTCTGTTTACAGGAGCTTTTCAGGACCCTATTTGAGAACACCACAAAAAAAGTACTGTCCGCGAATAAGCAAGTCCACAGAACACGACAAAACAAAACATAAATATAAATCTACCGTAATAAGTTTCGAAAAATGGCAGCATATCCACAGAGTGAATGATGATCAGTGGGGCGAAGCTTCGGAGGGTTTTATCAGTAAACCGTGAATCTTCTGTATGTATGTATTGTGGGCATTTAGTATACCAATCCTCTTCATCTGTACATTATCATCATTATCATGTGTTGCTTATGCATCCTCATCGTTGTCACGTAGCATCATCATCTTGGTTCGTTCATCTCAGCCGTCGGCTGCCGGTTCTTCGGGCCTAATAAAGGTCTTCCAAACCAAGACTTCACAGTATGTATGTATGTATGTATATATATATGTATGTATGCATGTATGCATGTATGCATGTATGTATGTATGTATGTATGTATGTATGTATGTATGTATGTCCGTTCACACCTGCTGAGAGAGTCATGGAACTAAGCGGTCACGTACCAAGACAGACATGCATGTACAGAACCACAGCATAAGGAGCTTCGCCCCCAAAATTTGTCCAGCACCAGTTCTTTTGTGATCTTCTAACCAAGGTAAAAGCATGTTATGAACTTTATTAGCATCCCCCTAATTAAGTTTACGAAAACAGCTGGACAACTTGAAGCGCCGTGACCGTTACATTCAAGACGAAGTAGTAATGAAGGGCTTATAAGTTCTCACTCCTCACCAATCTGTTTGGCAATAAATTGAAATCCTTGACGAGCACTTGCTTCACTAGTTCTGGCTCCGCTACCATCAGGGCTGGTTTGGTCCCTTCGAAGTACCTAAAAATAAAAGGTAAAGCATATAATGTATGTATCACATATAGTGTCTGCATACAGGAGTGCTAAAGTCGTCCAGACTCTCAGAAAGCGATAGCAGATGAAAAAAAACTATACTTCATTGTAACAGCCCTGCTAATAGTTGTTGATGCTTTTTGTTTACACATGGCAGACAAAGAGTGTCTGCACTGCGATGCTTACCAGCAGACAGGAGTGCCGTCTGCTGGTAGATGATCCTCCTGTCACAGATGCCAAACTGCTTTCACCACAGATGCCAAATTAGATTAATTCCGAAACGCATGTGTATTCACATTCGAATCAATTTTCCGTTACCAATACTAACTCAGCACAATGCGCTAGTGTTCATGCGTCACTGCACGTTGTACTGCCAAGCTCGATAGCCTCCATGCCCATTCTGACGCACGTGGGCAGTCGCGCAAGCTCAAATTAAGACTTACTGTCCAACGTCGTGGCATGGTATGGCGTCGTTACACAACTATACGCGTAATGGAGACAGCACTCACCCGAAAAGTCTCCCATATTTCTGGCACCTCTCTTGATCCGCCAAGCACAGTGGCTGCGTTGTTAAGAGAAATTTGATGCATTCGCATATTCTGCACAAATTGCTTCATTATAAACAAGCCTGTTAAAGCTGCAGCTGGTCGTACACGGACATAACATGAATCGCATCAGGCATTTTTTTTCTTTATGTCACGTTGCGTAGGGCTGTAAAAGTTGCCAGTTAATTCATACGAGAACCAAGTTTCTTCAGCATCAAGTTTTTTGTTTTTTTTTTCAATCCTGGGACTAATTCTTTTCTTCAAGATGGCATAATGTAGTTTACAATACGGCCTCACATTGGGTGCTTTTATTTTTAATTCTGGGAATAGTACTTTTTTTCAAATGACATAATTTAGTGTAGACTACGACTTCCCATTTGGTACTCATGTCACTTAAACAAATGTTTACATAGATACATCAATATTATTATTTATTTTCCGGATTGGCAAGCACGATATAAAGAAGAGATTATATATTAGTGTTGAATTAATCAATACACTTATATTTGATATGTGCAGTTGCAAATGATATGAGAGGAAGCCCTGAAATGACCTATACTAAAATTCATAGTGTCTATGCGTATTTGCCAAGCACAACAATGTCTGTAACAGTAAATGTTTAAGTGTAGCAGTAATGTACATCTTTCAAAAAAGAACGTAAGATTCGTCTCTGCACATGATGGGTCATCGTATCCAAAACAAAAACTCGGTGTTTCCCTTTCACATTGCCCATGTACTGCAGAAATGAGTTGTTCACATTGTTGGCTGCCATCTCACTCATAAAACAATCTTGAACATTTGAAACATACTGCACATAACTTTCCCTAAGAAATATGTGCCTAATATATCTTTAAGGCGAATCAAACATGTGGAAAAAAATTAAGACTGTTCTTCAATCGCAAGTAAGCAAGAGCTTTGCCACTGAGGTTTAAGCGTAAAAAAAAGTCCAGGTTGATAAAAAAGATGCTTTGATAAGGACTCGTGTTCATGTTTAATTTATTACTGATGGTTCTCGGAGCAGTGGTTCCATCGATGGGGAACTTTTAAATTACTTTTTGTCTTTTTAAATGATATGCTGGTGTTTTTAAACTATGTTAACTTAAGCCCCGCAACAGTAGGACGTTACAGCAGCTGGCATCGTATATACGGCTCACACACAAAAAAGAATATGTTATTAACTGCCTCTTTTACTCATTTGAAACATTTCATAATGTGTTCTCATATTTTTAACATTACTCCCTCAGGCCTAGTTTGATCAGGTTACGTCAATATTTTTACCACTTACCTTCGTAAGTACTTTGATGAGAGGGCGGATTATCAGTGACAAGTTCTCATGCGGAACGTCCTGTTTGGCCCAGTAGTTGCGATTCCTCGTTATGTATCTGTATGCAGGAAAAGGAAAGATAACGAAAATAGAGTAACGTGTCGTATACATATCATGTGAGTTACCTGTCGTCAATACAAGAGGAGAACTTGAGGCCTCTGTCGTTGCAAGAGGCATGTAGTGACACACACAGTTATAAAACCTGATGCATATTACTCAGCTGGCTCGGTCATCCTAAGCTCACTTCTAGCTTCGCTCATCAAAACACTTCTTCAATCACTCTCACATAGATGAAACCCACATAAACATCAGCGTGTGTACGATCCGTGAAGAGTTTCACACAGCACAAAATATAAGTTTACGCTATTGAAGAAAACTTGCGACAATGTGCAGCTCGAACTCGTTCTACCGGTGGAATAATAAAAATAATTTCGGTAGGCTTATGTGCGAAAAGCACAATCTCATTAGGAGGCACGTCGTAGCGGACGGCTGTGCAAATTTTGGCAATCGGAATCACTTGCGGTGACGTCGCAAAGTACATGTGCATCTAGCCTTTAGCCTACATTGAAATGTCACCACGGGGCCGTGACGGAATCGATGACCTTTTAGTCACCGGTCGAGCGCCGTTGCTACGGTATCATTGCAATGGACCCTACTGACGTATTTAGTATTGTTCACAAGTACCAATTGGATATTATAGCAAAATAGCCAATTTTATTTATTTATTGATCTATTGATTTTTTAACCTATAAGTACTGTGCTTGACGCCCATCGGAGCATCCCTCAAGTTTCTACAATACAAAATAAAATGAAACTGAACCTGCAGTGGCTTGTTTATATAGAAAACAGATGGGTGAACTTTCACCTAATAAATAAGTGGTTTTACTTGAAAGCTTACTAGATTTGTTTGAATGGAAATTGTTGGTATGGCCTTATCAAGCCGTAATAATAATTAGCAGTCTAATAGGTTAAAAATAAACTTAGCAGCTGATGTAACATTTACATATAAATGCTTTGTATCTTATTCGAAGCGATGCATAACTCAGCTTGTTTGTAGAGCATTGTTTGAGTTCCAACTTATGGCAAGATCAAAGCTTTTTTTCTTTCGCTGCTCTGTTCTCATCGTGTTGTCCGTCTACAAAAAAATAGCTGTATTGTATATTCTTAGTTTTATCAACAGACTTTTATAGGGCGACTAGCAAACAAAAAGAGATTGCAAATTGTGTGGGCACTTCTGTATCATGCTTCATAATTCGTGTATTGTTTAGGCATCTGAAATCGATGTATGCCTGTATGCAAGCTGGGTTAATTAAGGTGTATACATAACTCAATACTCTTTGTTGAAAGCTATCTGCTGCTGGTGGATCGCACGGTGATGACGCTTTAATGTTCCTCACATGAAATAAACTTGCTTATAGCTTAACAAATGAATCCGTGAATTATAGACAACACTCAATAGACAATGCACTGCGATTGTGCCTTCGGACACACTCGTGCTATCGCACAATGAGTGTTATCCGGCTTGACGTAGAGTTCTCGACATTTAAGCGCTTTACGAGCGGTCCAAAGAGCCTGGCACAATGCACTACGTTGGTACTTACTTCTCGTTCACAAGAAAGAGAAGAGAGGCGCTTTTCACTGTTGTCACGATTACTGCTATTCCACTTATGAAACTAGCATTACTAAAAAAAAATTAAATAAAGTTCGAGATAAAAACAACCAAAGCTGTCGGTAGTCGTTTCGATAATATCTCGATTTATATTCGTTCTACGAACGTACTTCAATCCACTATGCTTTCCGTAAGATATTATACTTTGCCTATTCTGCAGGAGCCTCTTTGATTGAATTCGATTAAATTAGTTTCTGTCTATTTTATCGAAGTCCTCCGCGGAGGCTATCTTGAGTCATATTCCTGAAAAAAAAAAAATGTTGCTATTTTTCATAGTTGCTTCACAAGTTCAGCGGTCATAACAATTTTTAGTTGATAACGTTCACACCGTCTTATTCATACTTTTATCCATTTATAGTTTAAGCTGAAAAGGTTCTTCGAAGCTATAGCGTGAGCAGTATCATGTCAGCACACTATCCAAACGATAGATAAAATGCTTATACTTACAAGTAAAGCAGCACTAAGGCCGTCACCAGAAAAACTACCCAATCCGGCAAGCCGAAGAACGCCATCTCCACGAGACTGTGTTACGGGAACTAAATCCGTCCAAGGCTGAGGTAGAAATATGAGGCAGTTTGTAGATCAGCACCACACGCACGTCGCGCTCAAGTTCGGGGGATCACGAAGGGCGAACACAACAGCGACGACCGTTATCCGTGCCATTGTTGAGGCTCGCTAATCACGCCCGTTTCCCGGCACTACAGATACCACTGCTTTCGCTCGGCTTCGTTTCACCGGCTCGCGCAATGCCGACACTGAATCCGAATGGCGCGCCGAGCGCACGCTTCGTCTCTCGGACGTATCTGAATGCGAGTATCAATCACGGCGACAGTCAGTGAGATGCGAGCTGTACGGGCTGCCAATGCAGCGCTTCACAACAGCTGAAACGGGCGCGGGCGTACGGGAACGAGAGTTGAGAGCAGCAAATGCTGCGAAGCGATAGGTAAGGGGTACAAGACCTAATCGGAGCTTCAAGAACGTTGCTCGTAACTGCGAAGACAAGGGGAATGAGTGTACACACAGAACACCTACCAGTTGTGCATAGAGACAGAGAGAAAAAAAAAACAGCAAAAGAAGCAGTCGGAAGAGGAGGAGAATGTTTTGTTCCTCCTCCTGCGTCAAAACAGGCTCCTTCTTTCACCGTAAGGCTGCAGGAAATTGTACCTCTTTCCCTGGACACTCTTTACCATCCTCTCACCCTTCCTCTCCATCTATGAAGTTGAAGGGCAAAAGCACCATAAACGGAAGCGGCTCATTTACTCTCCGCCCGCTGCACGTGGTGCTGTCGACGTGTTGCCTTTACGTTTACGCGTGCTCAAGGCCGCCGGTAGATCTGAAGGATCATGGGTGCTGCGTTGCCTCTGGCTCGTAGGTGACGGATATTTCACCGGTAGGCTTGCTGCTACAGCCTGGCCTCAGCATACTTGTCACGGAATCATCGTGACGAGTTTAGCACGTACACGGTTTTGAGGTAAATAAACGAAACTGTCATTCATGGCAGTGGCGTACGAACTCTTTCGCAGAGGGGAGCAAATCTATCAAATCTATCTCACTCGTCAGCCGGAATATATATATATATATATATATATATATATATATATATATATATATATATATATATATATATATATATATATATATATATATATATATATATATATATATATATATATATATATATATATATATATATATATTGTTTAAAAATATGCCGGTACACGTAATTACGACGCCACCAAATGCATGCTGCTCACCGTTGCCTGGAGTTAGACTATTTTTTGTGTTCTTAAATATTGCTTAATTAGATATGTTTAAATAATTAACTTTTGAAGTAACGAAGATGGATAAAGAATGTCAATGAGAAAATTGTAGATCTGTTTGCAAAACGTCCAAATAGATAGTTTTGAACTTTATATCTGTTACGTATTAGTGCTTTTCTGATATAACAGACAGTAATGCCAAAGGAATGTACAGGGGAAGTTATTAAAATCAATGGAATGTAAATAAGAAGAAAGAAAAGTGGATGAAAAAATTACCAACTGTGAGCAGGAATCGAACCTACGACCTTCGGATTACGCGTTCGATGCTCTAACCACTGAGCTATAACAGCTTTTTTTCTTTCTTTATTGCCTGTTTACATACAACATTCACACACATATATACATCAAACAAAGTAGAAACATGAAACAAAAAAAGGGGTAAAAAGCATCATATTTAACAGGCTTTTTAAAATTCCTTCATCTGTAGAAGGCTTTCTACTTGATGAAGCCATTCGGGCACCTCTTGTTGAACCTTTTGTGCTTCCACGAACGAACAGACAGATTGAAAGAAATATTGCCTGACCGGACGTGCATTAACATCAGCATGGCGCACCGCCATTCTAGATTGCCATATACCGTGCAGGCCCAGTAACATAACTAGGTCGAAAGGTATTCCTTCTTCATTTGATACTGGTAGAAATCTGATGCCATAGGCATCGAGAGGCAGATCCTTTTTCAAAGTCCTTTGAAGAACATCCCAGAAAAAGACTGCATCCCAGCAGTCCAGGAAAACATGTTCAATTGTTTCCGGCTTTTTGCAGAGAAGGCAATCAACACCCCAGGGAACGAATAAGCCTTTTTCTTGCATCCATGTTTTCACGGGCAAGGTCCCAGTGTGCAACTTAAAGAAAAAGGATTTCGCTCCAGGTGTTACCTCCATTTTTTTTAACACGGCTTAAGACATTTTGGCCTGGGCCTACACGGTATAATGCTCTATATAGGGGAACAGGAAGAACTGTTTCTACTAAATCTTTGTATAACTTTTTACGCGAAACCGTACTGAGGTATTCCAATGAAAAACGCGTTTTTAGAAAGAGACATGAATCAACAACTTCTTTTAAGAAACCTCTAACACTTGCTTTCATGTGAACAGATGCTACCACAAATTCTGGCAGCCGTCTTCCAAGCCTAAGCTGTATAACAGTACGTATGAATGGGTCTCGATTATTTCGGAAAAACATAAACCGATTAACTAACTGACGAAGGTACAAATGACACAGACCAAGTCCTCCAGAGCGAACCCGTCTGAATAAGTTAGTTCTACTTGTTCGCTCCCAAGAAGAACCCCACAAGAAAACAGCAAATATTCGATGAAGCTTCTGTAGATTCACACGTGAACAATGCATTACCTGAAGGACATACCAGAGCTTACTGACTAAAAATACGTTACAAAAAGTCGCTATGGCGAAAATTGATAGCTGGAAACCATTGAGTTGTTCAGCTTTTTCTCGTAGCTCCACGGCCTGACGCCGCCAGTACGGTTCACTGTCACAATAATATTCTAATGGCACACCTAGGTATCGTACCGGAGTAGTAGTCCATGAAATACCAGCCACAAATTGTGGAGTCACAGGCCATTCGCCGTGCCAGTAACCAAGGCACTTGCTCCAGTTTACCAAACTACCACTTGCATTACAATAAAGGTTCACAATTTTTATGGTTTCAGCGATACTATCATAATCTTTACAAAACACAGCTATATCATCTGCGTATGCTAGTACCCGTACTTCAGCTTCTTGTAGTTTGTACCCCACTATGTTATTGCTTTTCATGACTTTTTGGCAAAATGACTCTATATAAATTGAAAATAGGAGGGAAGACAAAGGGCAGCCTTGTCGTACAGAACGTCTGACATTAATTCGTTTCCCAAGAACTTTGTTGATGATTAGCCGAGTTTTACATCCAGTATATGCCATTCGAACTGTATCTCGAATTACTTTGCCAACATTGACATAGTCTAACAAAAGAAAAAGAATTTCGTGCGGTACTCGGTCAAATGCTTTTTCTAAATCTATCTGGATCATCGCGATGTGATCATTTGTGGCATCGCAGCACTCCAATACACTTCGTGCCTTGTGAATGTTTGTGAAAATAGTGCGCCGTTTGATCCCACATGTCTGGTGGTCGCCTACAATGTTATTAATAACTGTCTGCAGTCTCCTTGCTAGCACTTTCATTAAAATCTTGTAGTCGATATTTGAGAGACTAATTGGCCTGTACGATTTCACTTCACGTAATTTAACTGCGTCCTCAGTTTTTGGTATTAAAATAGTATGAGATAGCAGAAAAGAAGGTGGCAAAGTCTTTATGTCTAAGGCTTCGTTAAAAACCGCTGCCAGGATCGGTGCTAGTTCGTGTTTGAATTCCTTATAAAATGCGGCTGTTAAGCCATCAGGTCCTGGGGACTTTCCCAAATGGAGGGCAATGATTGCTTTTGTCACTTGCGGTTCAGAAATAGGACATTCTAGGCTGTCTTTCCTGCAGTCCTCAGCCTTTGGCATTAATTTTAAAATTTCATTCTTGAATTCATCTGCACTTACTTTACATTTATCAAATAAAGTGGTGTAATACTCGTTGAAAGCATCCTCTATATATCTTTGTTCACTTGTAACGTTACCCATGTATTCAATCTGATGTATAACATTCCGCTGAGCGTTTCGTTTTTCGAGACCAAGCATTCTTTTGGTCGGTTTCTCTCCTACGGTCATTTTCTCTGCCCTTGCCCTTATTTGTGCGCCACGATACTTCTCCTCATCAATTTGTTCCAATTTGGACTTTACTGACCTTATATCATTTGTGAATAAGCCTGGCGTTTTGCTGTCCTCTGCTAGCAGTTCTTTGAGATTTAAACGTAGGGTTCTTTCTTCTTCACTCTTTCCGTGTTTTATTACACATGAGCGTTCTATAGCTATCAACTTTATATTCTGTTTAAATTGTTCCCACTTCACTCCGTATTTTTGGTCTCCACTATCTATGTTTATCAACGCCTCTCGAACACTGTCCATAAATTTTTCCTCTTCCAAGAGATTAGAATTCAGCTTCCACATGTCCCAGTTAAATACTGGTCTACGTCTATTCCTTTTACCTATTACAAATGATACTAAGCAATGATCACTAAATGAAATAGGGAGGACATTGTACTCACTGATAATCGGAATTAAATCCAGTGATACGTAGGCCCTATCTAGGCGCGCATGACTGGAGCCTTGGAAATGCGTATACAGTGTTGGTCCTTTACCAATACACTCTGCAACATCCTCAAGGTCTAAGTCAGAAATTAGATTCGTTAACGCGACTGTGCTTGAGTCGTTGAAATTGGATGTACTTGTTTTATCATCGGCACTGATCACACAATTAAAATCTCCCATAAGGATGACTATGCGATCGCATTCACAATAAGTACGAATTTCGTCGAATGTTACACACCGTTCATCAACTTTAAGAGGTGCATATATAAACAAATCACTCGCCAATTAAGAGAAAAGAAGGTCAAATCACATACAACAAACCTTCCGGATGAGTCAGACGTGACGTTTTGAACACTGGCACCTAAACTATTCCGCACAAAGATCACACACCCTGCCGACCTACCAACTGCATGACTGACGCTGGCGGTGTAGCGTCCGGTGAAACGTTGCAGTAGGCTCTCGGTGGCGTCCACGCTCTCCACTTTGGTTTCCTGAACTGCAATAATGTCCAGGTCTTGGTCCATGGCTAGTCTGTAGAGCTGAGTCTGTTTCTTCCTGGAAGCCAGTCCTCGTACATTGAGCGTCGCTGCTTTCACGAACCCGCTCAGCGACGTGATCGGTGAGCGGGTCCAAGCTGAGAGCCCTGCACGTTCACTTATTGGGCTCTCGTCGTCCAGGGCGGATCCATGTTGTTCACCTTTAGTTTGAGCGGCCATCGTCGCGTTTGAGCGACGACGACCGTTGGCGGGCAGCGTTTCGTTTCTTGCTTCCACTGACCACCTTCCACTGCATTTCCGACTTTACTTGCGTTTCGTCTACTTGAGCACCGTCGTCTGAATCGCGACGGCGTTTTGCAGACGCCGATTCTAATTCCATGTTTAAGGTATCCAGATCACTAGGCAAATCCTCATTTTCGTGTGTTTTGTTCGCCAAAGAGTGCTGTGAAGCCGAGTTTAGAGGAGTCGAAGCAGCGTTGGCCTGGGACGCCGGCGTTTCAGGGCGCGTTGCTTGCAGCTGCGACGCGGCGTGCATCGCAGGCGCAGGACGCGTCTCTTCGCTAGTCGTTGGGGCCGCTTGACTTCCCATCTTCCGTTCGGCGTTCGTGTCCGGGGCTGAAGAAACTTGCTTGCTTTTCCCCAGCACCGGAGTGTCGTCCGATGTCGTCTGCTTCTGTGGTATCGCAGGCAAAGACGCTTGTTCAGATTCCTCCTCATCCATGAGAAGTTCACTCTGTTGAGTATCTGGTCGTCGCCCTGCAGCTCGTGCGTATGAACGGTTACACTCATCCTGCTCATGACCGAAAGAGTGGCATTCGCTGCACCTTGGGACCTTACAATCGCGTCGCATATGCCCCGTGCTTCGGCACCGCAAGCACAAAGGCGGTCTTCCCGGCACCACGACCAGTGCCGTACTGCTGCCAATACGCACCTGATGGGGCAGTTGATCCACAGAAACGCCATCTCGTAGTTGCATGCGTATTACACGAGTGGTCCATTCAACTCCTTCAAAATCCTCGACTCTCCATCGGTCATCGGTCACCTCCTTGACGTCGCCGTATTCATAGAAGGCACGTCGAATAGCGTCTTTTGTAACATCGAACGCTAGCCAGTGCAATTTCATTTTAACTTCTTGCCGCGTCGGGTCAATGACGAGACATACCCGGTCTTTAACTATGAGAACGCCTGCGTCTGTCAGCGCTTTCTTTGCTTCCACGGTCTTCATGTTCAATAGCCACACGTGCGACATCTGATATGCTCCGATACCACTTACTTGCTGTATGACGCCTAAATCTTTGAGAGGTTTCCTGAAGTCGTCGATGCGGTACGGTCGGCCGCTGACGTCGCAGTGTAGAGCTACTGCTCGACGCATCGCTTCACCTGAATGCAACGAAGGCAGAATAATCCTGTAGTCCTTTGGAACGAGGGGAGACGCTGTACCGCGGCCGGCGTCGGCCGCTGTCGCTGCTCGGGATGAGCTTTCCATCCTGCGTCCGCACGCGTCGGTGACCAGAAGCAGAATACTGAGCTATCACAGCGGCCCTCCCTCCATCCACTTTTTTGGGTTTATCTGTGAATTTAGAAGTAGGAGCGACAGTCAGCGCCATCTATATGCCAAACAACGAGTGGGAAAACACTCTTATGCGCATGTTTGGCGTCACGTAGCACGTGAACTTAATATGAGCGGGCAGCTGATTAATTGTCCCTCTTATACAACCTAAACACACCAAGTCTGCCAGTACGAGACCCTCGTTCAATGAAATAAGGGAAAGAAGTGTATACCTAAGGGCTCGTTTTTCCGTGTTTTTAACACAATATTAATGAGATATAACAGACAGTAATGCCAAGGAATGTACAGGGGAAGTTATTAAAATCAATGGAATGTAAATTAACTGTCTGTTATATCTCATTAATATATATATATATATATATATATATATATATATATATATATATATATATATATATATATATATATATATATATATATATATATATATATATATATATATATATATATATATATATATATATATATATATATATATATATATATATTCGTAGATACCACGAAGTTCAATCACACTTTAACAGGCCGAGGAACGGCGCCCTTAGCTCCATTTCCGCGTCAAATATGCGACGCTTATCTTGCTATTACGCTTCCTTCTCTGATTATGTTTTGGCGGTTAACATCAACAAATACCGCAACAGTTTGTTTCATAGATTTATCACGGATGTTAGTCATCGAGATGGAGATGTACCAAGTGTCAACGAGGATACATCCACGTTGAACGGTGCTATAGCTTCAAAATACCAAAACATACATTCTGCAAACCCTTCGTTTTCAATGTACAGTAAACATTTAGTTACCCGTGTTGAGGCGCCTTTTACTTTAGTGTTATAAGCTGATTCCTCTGACGGAGGGATTAACCATGTTTTTTCAGAGAGTCATTGCTGTTTTATTTTTTCATAAGTACAACATTTTCTTGCATATATTCAGGCATGTATGTATTATAATTTGTTTTATTTGCTAATAGCCTGAACTTTCTATCTGGAGCATGCAAATAATAATCATATTGCTATTGTTATATTGCTGTTATTAAGCTATTATCAACTTCTCTACCCTTTAAAAATGTATGACTCGTGGTATTAAAGGGGCATAATACATTGTTTACACTCTATGTATTTGTATTAAAATTTCTCAACAAGCCCCCAGGTACCTGCATAAATATGCTAATACAAACGGTGTAAACAAATTTTTTCTTCAAAAAAAATCTGGGTGATTATGAAATTAAAGTATCCCTCACTGCTTCCTTTCGAAATTGTCGTTAGCTGTATATGATTGGCGTAAGCAGTCTTTGTCATGCACAAAGCACCAGCTTGTTAGGCGAGGCAAGAAACAACGCAAAAGTGACCCATCGTGTGGTGACCACTTATGCACGGCCACGTAAAAAAAATGAGAAAATAAACTATTATTGATGCGGTTTATTGTTTGCCAATCGCTCTTCAGCATTTAAAACTTTCTGTGTGCCACAAAATCGTCTGCTTGTTACATGACGTCACGAAGCCGGAGAGCATCTCCTTCTAAACGTAATTCAAGTAGACCAGCTGCCAATCACGTAAGCAGCGGCTACATATAGCAGCTGGTGGGATGAATTATGAGTTTAATAAAATATTTCCACTTGCAGCATAACGCTGTTAAGTTGTTTGTGCGCGTATACGTCTCTGTGATCTCATACTTGCTCTATGTAATTTGAGCTGAAAAGGACAAATCAAGTAGAGTGAAAACAAACTAGCCCGACTCTTAACTGAGCCTCCATAGTGCTAAAAAGCACGCTGTTTCGCCTTCTCCCATGTCCTGTGGGGCAAGCCTAAAAACTGAGCTTCCTACTGAGATCGAGTTCACTGCTTTATTCGTGGCCACTTTTCAAGCTGTCGCAATGCGGACTGCAAGTTACCATAAGCAAGGCTTATCAGGTTTATGATAGGCTAAAGCGGAAACAATTTTTGGCATTTCAGTACGAAAAAAAAAAAACGATTGGTCAAACTCATCGGCTGGCAACTGCTTCGACAGAGCAGCGGTGATGATATATTTTTTTCGAGATTTTTCGGAAGCAGCAAATGCTTTGACCAGTCTATAAAAACTTTGCCCTTTCCCATACCTAACTGCATGAACAAGTCACAGCAGAATCAAGGCATGAAAATGTGATGTATTATTATAGGGCCGCACCGTAAAGAGCCTACAAGTAAAATCATCACAGCGGAAATGTTGGCGAAATTTCGCAATGTTGTAACATTGCCTCGTAACAATTTCATTCTCCCCTAACAACATAATTGAGTGATTACTGTTGCGACGGAAAAGTTCGCCTTACTTGTTGGTTTTGCCAGCGTTCAGTCAAAAGTGACCACTGCCGAAATGGAGGAGAGGGCTCAGCTCCGCCTTGCACCCCCCCCCCCCCCCCGCGCGGCTGATACGCCTATGATTCACGGCTTAGGCGATCGCGACAAACACGCTAACGTTTGGGCTCGAATTATCGAAAAGTGCTGAACACATCGGTAAGAAAACTTAGAAGGCGTGCATACATATAGGTTATATGATTGATAGTAGGAAGCTCGCGTCGATCGCTCCACTCATATTAAAGACAGGTTGGCTTCTTTCAATGATCACTCACCTACGCCGCAGCAATAATATAAACTGTCTTATTCACGAGCTAAAATATGGTAATAATAATTAGTTGTGACATAAAGCTTGTGCATATATTGGTCAATTAATTCGTGTTTGATTTTGTCACCCTGAACGTCACGCAATGTTCAGCCTAATGTGAATTTTTTACCTCTTAGCTATTCCTTATTTGTGCATTCTTCTGACTATAAGTTAGTTTTGATTATTAGTTCAATACAAATTAACCTTGTTATAGCAGAGATGAACTGCCATTGTGTAGGGGTACCTAATGTTGATTACTAGTAGTAGGCTGCAGTAAATACGCATATAAATTAGTGCGACTAAACTCTCAAATAATGAACGTGTCCAAGGCTACTTATGACATGTCGCTCTTCACTACCGACGCCGGCCGCTGATATCAGAAAGAATAGCTACTTATTACCACGACGTGTGTGTGACACCGCGGCCCTGCTGAACTCCCGCTGGTCTTGGCTTCCTATGCATGCGCCCACCCGGTGCCGTCTCTCGGAGTTTCCGATTCGCCACTGCGCTACGGCTGTTGAATAGGAAAGCTGAGCGCCTCAATTCCTGAAAGAAGAGATGCATCGCAAAAACAAACAAAAAAAGAAGTTTCAGGCTTCCGCGTTGCTTTAGGACAAGTGTTAACGTGTCACTGCAGTTCAGCGCACGAACGTATGTACGAGGTTTTTTTTTTTTTTTTTTCAACATATGTCTTCGACGTCTTATCTAGCTGCTTTCCTTTGTGGAATCTAATTGATTGCTACTCTATCACACACAGAGTACAATTTGCGTCATACTGAACTTGCATAGGAGTTAAATTGACTCCCCAGAAAAGTGGACGTACAATGCAATCAACACAGTTACAAACTTTAGTTATGCCGTACCCTAAACTGTTTGGCAGCATGGCATGACTCATTCTCCAGTTATCTTTTCTGCAGCACACTGCACAAAAACTGAATCTCAAGGGCGCTAAGGCCTCGTTCCATGTATATGTGTATGGGGTCGATACGCACATATACGATCGAGCGTGTATGTTATGCGCATTTGAAGTAAAATGTCTAGATCAGAGAAGATTAAGAAGTATCCTGGTTGTCAGTCGATCATTTATTTCGTCCCAGAAAAGTGCAAGAATGATGTCAGTCTCTCGTCTGTTTATGGGAACGTGGTGCATCCGCTGTTGTGTCTTGAGTGGGGGGGAGAATGCCAAAAAGAAAACGAATACAAGCGTCACAACTCAGACGTCTCATCTTTTTGATGATTCCGACGGTGACCTTCTTGGGTTTGAGGATTCCTATTCCTTTGACGAATTCAAGACGTTCCTAAGAAAAGGAGAAAATAAAAAGTTCAATAATTAGCAGCGCTCATATTGAACCTGTAGATTATCAATGTGTGAAAGCGGCGTCGGTACATTATCAACACATTGCGTAAACTCTATACTATGTGATATATTAAACACATTCTACTCTCGTTAACCCACAACTATCACAATCTAGCATGAAACCAATGGACAGTTAAAAACTTTTTTTTTTTTTGCCAGTCAATTTGCCTAACAACGCACCGCATAAGTTTGAAAGGACACTTTAGGTTGGGAGAACGTTTTTGGATCAGATTAGCATGCGACCGACTCCATTCGCAAAGTGTAGCAGTTGTAACAGCCATAGTAGATATTGGAGGTACCTCACTATATAACTTACACATATACTTCTTTTTTACACGGCGTAACAGAGTGTGGAAAAGTGACAACATTAATGAGGCCAGAAAAGGTCCCTGCAACACTTTTTGAGCATGATCAGAAAACGTCGCTTATCGGTAGTCGAACATCCCAAGAACTCGCAAGGCAAGTATAATATAGCGCAGCACGCGTCCTGGACTTCATAATGAATTCTCAATAAGCTTAAAATTGTCTTTGTAATTGCTGGGGCCGCCGCGGGAGGCCGCGACTTGTCCACGCGTGCGCGCTCGATCGCACTGACGAGCTGCGCAGTCAAAAAAAAAAAAGAACAAAAAAATGTCAAGGTCCCAAGACACGCATGACGTTTCTTTTTTTTCTTTCCCGGTGCCCTTTTTTTTTTTCTGCTTAGCTCCCAGCGCTTTCGTCGGGACGAGAGATTGCAATGGCAGCGTGCGAGAAATCTTTGTAACTCTGCTCGTACTGAACGGATTTAAAATTATTTTTTGCTGTGGCAAATTCACGAAACAATAAGCTTCCTCGTTGAAATAATTCCATGACTACTTAAACAAAAGCGTTGCGGGGCCCCTTTAAGTCAGCGCTTCGCTATACTTGCCCGTCGGTGGAGGAAAGTGCGGTTTAAAAGCAAGAAGGTGGAGAGCAAGAACTGATAAAAAATAGATCGGTAGCCACACTTATGGGTGATCCTTGAAACAAGACACTCGCCTGGTTTATCTTTCTGCATTTCTTTCCTCTACCTCCTCCCGAGTCGGGCTCATCGTAAGAAGTATTCTCGTGGAACATCGAATCAACACCATGTTGGGTTTTTCAAACGTGTAGATTACACGCATTTCCTGGAGACACGGGAGCGTACCACTACAGAAAGTGGACAACTGTTACAAAATCGTAACAGAGTTATAGAGCAAGTGATGGCTGGTTTGAGAACTACCCCGTCCCGATGTGCATCGGCGACTCTCCGGTGCAAGTGCACGATTTGCGCAACGCGCAAAATTATGACTACTTGTGCACTGTGTGAGCTTATATATATAAAAAAAATTGTAGATGCTTTTGCTAGTGTCTATACAAGAACAATACTCAGTGTAATGCCGTGAAATGGAAGTGCAGTTTTGTGAGAAAAACGGAGTGTTACCGCACGTTTTGTTCCACCTATGTCACATTACACGTTCATGCAATGCGTTCGTATACTCACAGGGTAGCCAGCCGTTCTGAGAACTGGCTAACCTCCCTGTCCTTCCTCTTTCAATCCTCTCTCTATCCTTCGTATACGCGTTTCTCCGTACAATACGTTGGTAGCATGTTATCTCAGGTGGTTCTTCCACTGGGAAGAAATTTCCTGCACCCCTCCTGATGGTGTGTTGGTTTGAGGGTTTAGCAGCTAAGCTTGAGAAAGCCACGACGGCTGGTGGCTTTCCGGTGAGTGACTTTATGCATAGGTGCCAGCGTGTTTGTATTAAGTTTTGATGGGGAACTTCATTCATGCGAAGGTCCTATAGAAGCACCCAGACCAGCGTGTCGCGAATGAGTCATTCCCTCCGAGTGTTCATGGTCGTGGCTGACCCGGTCGTTCCAGAGCACTATTAAATAAAGTAAGAATAGAATCTCTGCAGATGCGAGTACGATTACACCGTCAAGGACGTATTGACAGTACGTCATGCGCAGCCTGTAGCTCCTGCGAATCACTTGACCATCTTATAGCGCACTTTCCAGCATTTTCTACAAAGCATGGTTTGCTTGTTAAGGAATATTATTTCTGAGAATTAAGTGCGCGACCATAAACGGTTACCTCTTATTGAGAGGTTGCGTTTCTCGATAGTACGTGTGTGCGGGTGTTTACTTAAACTTGTCTAAACGTTCTTCGTTTCTTTTTCACTTTCCTCTTTTATTTCCTCTTTCTCTCTTCCTCCCTCCCGAAAGAATAAGCAGGTGTTGTGCCTCTCGCCTAGATGGCATTTGTCAGATTGCTTTCTCCCTCTTTCTTCTGTTTCCTTGTTTATTCATGTATCTAAATTAAGTAAATAAATAAGGTGAACGTTTACGAAAAAGTAAAAAAAAATCACAGCTATGCCGCGAAGGTGAAGCAATGAACGCGATTACAACAAACTGGAAGGCCACGCGCAAATGGCAAGCACATCGAAACGTGCCCCGCGTTTCTCACACTTTAAGAATGCACGAAACGTACTCACGGGTACAGATTAGCGCAAATAAGCGTCTCAGTTGTTCCTTCGCTGTGTCTGAAAAGCGCGCCCTTTTCGCAAACGGTGGCTGTGCAACGATTGCAGTGACATTTGTGCGCCCGGTAACTACAACAGAATTGTTCCGACGAAACTTAAAGGCCAGCCAAGACGCACGATTCTCCCCACTGCAAGATAAAGTGCTCGATCGAGCGTACACACCCGTATTCTCTAGTATACGTGTGAGAGATGAGAGCCACTGCGCGCTCACTGCACCATCTTGCTGATAATGCTAAAAACACGATACCCTCTCCCCCTCCCCGAGATGTCCGCCAACAGCGGTAAGTGGTAGATATGAATAGCTTGCCGTTTGACCGAAGGAGGTATACCTCTCGGTGCTCAGTGGCTAACACCTCGCATTCACGACGCGGAGGTCCTGAGTTTGATACCGCACGCCGGAGTATTTTTTTCTGGGGTTTACTTTCTTTCCTTCGTTTTCATATATATAGATACGTATGCATATACGGTACATGACATCGACGCCGGTGGTGGAATCCAGCCGAGAATGTCCATATAATTTCTATTGCAATAAAAGCAGCGGTGTGGGAGTCTTTCAGGCTGCCGGTTGCGGTGTCCAGGCCATAGTTGCGGCGTCCTCTGCCCAGCTCACCAGCCGATGTTGGAGCATGGCGCAGAATCTCTGGTACTTAAAACTAAACCAAAGTCCCTCACAGTGGCGTTCCTTGGGATAATCATGTGCTTCCGACACTTTTAAATTTGACGTTTAACGTTTAAAGGAAATATGCGGAATGAAACACACATACCGGAGTTTGAACGTGCCCTGCTCATCGAAAGAGTTATCTTCCGCCAGTTATAGCGATGATTTAATGAGCTTTTGGAAGGTGTGATTTACAGTTAACTCATACTAACCTTTGCATTTTCAGCCGGTGCAAACTGCACAGTGTGCACAGAATGAAGAAGGCACAACTTCACGGTCTGCAAAGCCATGCGCATGCCTATGCAGTTGCGAGGACCCGCTCCGAAAGGCAGGTAAGTGTAAGGTCGTATAGAAGCAGCGTTTTCTGGGCTGAATCTGAAAAAATAAATGGAGGCTATGTATGCTACGAGTCTATCAAAGGGAGAGTCACAAAGTGGACGAGGTTGACACGCGTACCGACGACCCATATAAACGCAGAGTATTCTACTTCAGTAAGGTCAGCCTTTTTGCAAAGGTCGTAAGTTTGTCCCCGCTGGCTGCGGCTTGCGTGTTGTTCACTTCAATTCAATTTTCATTTTCATCCGATACGACTATGCTTCACAAAAAAAATGTTACATTTTATTTCTTTAGTTTCCTTATCTTTGTCCTTGTATGGCTATGTAGGCCACTACAGCGCTATTTAATGTATAGGCAGTTAGGTCTTTTCAGGAGCAGCCTGTCATCTTTTGATTTGCGTATCTTTGTCCGGGAGGTAAATCGTTCGTCGTAAAGCACCTTTCACCATGGTGAGTCATTAACGATGACAAAAACGAGTCGTTTTTTTCATGGGTTTACGAAATATACGACACATCGGTTCGGTTCATATCGGACCTATACCCGATTATCGGGTGGTTCTATGGCACCTGCTGCCACCGCTGCTTCAAGGCAGTTCTTCGAAACTTCTGTATAGGCTCATATTACCGGCACATGTTTAGTCGCGTTTTTCTGTCTACATTAGCGTCTCTGTTCAGTCACATTCTTTTTCAAGCTTGTATGAAGAACCGTATATAAAATATTTAGTAGAGGCGTGCCCTTAACCCTTGTATCAGCTTTACGGCTGATGGTCTGTCATGCTTCGCACATCCGTTACCTCTCGGGAATGAATTTGTCAGGATCGGGGAAGAACTCTGGGTCATGGTGCATGGCGTAGATAGGAACCGTGACGATGCTCTCTTTGGGAACCCTGATTCCTGTGACACCCATAACGTAGTCCTTGGACGCAGTCCTGTCAAGCCTGAAAATTAAACGGACAATCAAAGTGAAATCAGGCATTACGCCACGTAAGGCGGAACGTATTTTCCACATATTTTACTGCGCTATTGTAAGAAAAAAAAGGCGATGTTTCATTGATTTTGCACATATTCGCAGGAAACGTACGTTACCCACCGTGGAGCCGGCGGATACAGCCTCATGGTCTCCGAGACGACACAATTCAAGTAAGGCAGTCTAGAGATGACGTCGAAACTTGGATTCTGACCCTGCATGTATAAAAAGACACACAATGAAGCGTCAATACTCACAGCCTGTCATACAGCCGCAAGGCTTTTATCAAGAAATGTGCAGAAGGCTCTTTTTGGGCATTATGGTATTGCAGCAAGGTATGTGACCGGACTATAGCGCGTATTCCATGGTGACTTGGACAGTGCGTGAGACCGGAGTAGATATCTAGGTCATTTAACCGGATGAACCTAAGGTTATCTGGTGAAGTAACTCGGATATACACTGGTTGCTTCGCTTGATGTCTTTTCGCTTTTATGGGTAGGGGGGAGAGAGGGATGGTTACTTTTGTGTGTCTTGGATTTCTTGCCAAGTCTGCCGTAATGCGCAAATGAATGAGGGTGATGACGTGCGATGACCTGTTTTTTTTTTCGTGCTCCGTGTTAATAAATTTCAGTTGCAAGTCAGCGCCTGTTGTAGTCGGTTCCTTGTCCTTTTGTGTCTCTCGCTCGGTTCCCGCCACCCGGGTGCGGTATTGCATGGTTTCTATCCATGAAGGAGATCCACGTTTGGAGGTCTAGTTTAGTCACATGCTCAAGCGCTCCAGCAAGGCACGTGTGTTATATTACTCACGAGCAGATGCGACCGCAGTTACACGTACAAATGAGCGCGCTCACGTGAGAACACGTGCAGCCGCGGCCACGTGCCTGGAGCACTCGAGGAGCCGGTTTTCGCTCTGTGGGGCTAAACCTGGAGGCAGTTTCGGGCTCTGCGGTGCTGTATCAGAAGCATGTGTGGCCTAGCTGTCAGGTTGACCACGTCAGAGCCCGAAACTTCCTCGACGTGTTGCCCCGAGGAGCGAAAACCGGCTCCTCGCGCGCTCTTCACAGACGTAACCGCGGCTGTACTCACTTGTACCGACAGTACTTCTAACTTGCACGCATGTTGCTACGTGTAAGAACATGCTACCTCGTGTGCATGTACACTACTACATGCACTCACACATTACAAAGTGTACATATTGAAGCGAGTATTGTACATGTACAAGCGTACGCTCTAAAAAAGGAGCACATTTCTGGTGTATCCCTGACGTGCCTCGTATGGAACTCTCTTTAAAGACGCAGTTTGACTCTCTTTGGGGGTCACTTTGCTCTCTTTTGAGAATTATGTGACCCTAAAAAGAGTCGACGTGTCTCTCTAAGGGAAGTCATGTATGTGGCACGTCAGGGCTACACCCGAAAGGAGTCACACATATGCAACTCACATGGACTGTGAAGCACTCATCCGCCTCTATGCGAAGCTTTTCCTGAGCTTCGGGATTAAGCGCGAGTAGGTAGGCTGCGCAGGCGAGTACTGTTGAAAGGCCGTCGTGGGCGGCGACAAAGAACTGCACGCATTGAGCCAGGGCTTCGTCTTCAGACAATGCTGCGAATCAAGTTTTACGAAGTCGGAGAAACGGACATAAAACGCTGCATACCGAAACTTTTCAGTTATTTTACGCTATGGAAAGTTGTGAAGAAAAAAAGAAACAGTTGGTATTGTCGATTCGGCTTTGCGTATACAAACGTGATTGTACTCCACGTTCACATTTCGTACCCCGGTGTATCATTGGAAATGAATTAACTCCAGAGTTGCGGGTACGTTGTATTGCGGATTCACTGTCTTGCCTAAATTAAGTGGCTCAGCTGTAAAAATATAAATAAAAACAGAACAGGTGTGAATTGCCAACAGGTGTTAGTTTGGATGTATGTGTCACTGTAATCTCTCTCTTTAACTTTTTTTGTCTTCAATTTTCACAGGACACTATTTTAATTCACTCATCAGTCATAAATGAGTATTTCAACGCTGATAAAAAGACTCTGTATTGTAATTTCCCAGATAAATGAAATGGTTTACGTTTATTCTATACTTTAGACAAGATCAGCCTGTAAAATAGCAACCAACCCATGAAACGAATTTCGAACTCATTTTGTGCGTATAGCACCTGTCGGCATCAGTGTGACTATTTTTATTTTACTAGTTGTTGATTGATTGGTTTGTGGGGTTTAACGTCACAAAACCACCATTTGATTATGAGAGACGCCGTAGTGGAGGGCTCCGGAAATTTCGATCACCTGGTGTTCTTTAACGTGCACCCAAATCTGAGTACACGGGCCTACAACATTTCCGCCTCCATCGGAAATGCAGCCACCGCAGCCGGGAATCGAACCCGCGACCTGCGGGTCAGCAGGCGAGTACCTTAGCCACTAGACCACCGCGGCGGAGCATTTTACTAGTTGTTGTTGTTGTTGTTGTTGTTGTTGTTGTTGTTGTTGTTGTTGTTGTTGTTGTTGTTGTTGTAGCGGTCGTTCATTTCACACTTTCGGTGTAAAAACAGGTTCAATGTGGTCTCTTATCAGATCATAAACGTACTCGTACGCAAATTATCAATCATAAAGTTGAACATTATGAGACACGATAACGGGCCGTAATACAGACCCGTGTTGACAGGGCATTCCCGTCATGTATGATATAGTTTACCGGCTAAGGGCCTGCGTCGTCAAGGTCGAACACCCACGTGTGGTTGGGGGCTAACATAAGCTCCCGGGAATTAAACCTTAGGTGCATGCTAAAACCATAGCATACGATCCGACCTTATTCGTTGTTTCCAACTAAGATGAGCCTTCTAAACAGGTCCTGGTTTTGGCCCGTTAAATCCTGAATTTCTTAACGACACCCGACAACGCAACGCCGAATTTCCGCTGAACATGACCTTAAGATTCAAGAATACCGGACTGGAACGAACCTTTATGCTAATTCTTTCTTTGTTTATACTGTACAAGAGTGGAATCAATTGTCTTGTGACCAAGTGTGCTGTCATAACGAAGACTTGTTTTTTTTTTCAAAGCTGTAACCCCCCCCCCCCCCGCTTACACGCCTTTGGGCAAAGCAGGGTATTTCTGAATAAATAATAAAGAATAAAGAACATGAGGCTGATGTAGCAGTCATTTAGCCGAAAAGTATAGGGTTACCATTTACGAAGTTTGTCCGTCTTGGTAGCAGTGCGTTTACGGTACACGGCTGTCAGCCCGATGGTCCCGAATTCGATCACCACCCCGGTGGTCGCATCTCGATGGAGGCGACATGCTAGAGGCGCTATGTTAGTGCACGTTGAAGAACACAGGATAGTCGAAATTTTCTAAGCCCCCCCACCACCACTAAGATTGTCTCTCGTAATCACATCGGGATTTTGTGACGTGAAACCCCAGATAATATTATGCTGCGAATTTATGGCATTGCGAACTCACCTCTTGTAACAAACTTTACGCTGTTCTTGACGTCAGAATCAAGGTCGAATATTTCCGTGCACTCTTTTCCGGGCGAAGTCTCCCCCGAGCCGATAAGAGTTCCTTCCTGGGCATCCATCATGAGTTGCAAGAAGTCTTCGTGGCGCTAAGAAAGAAATTTACGCTTTGTTTAGAAGAAGTCTGTACCACTTGCACGTCACGTTGAGTTAATAATGCTAGAATTTGAGTATTTTAACTATAAGTTTTACATTTCAACACACGCCCACACGAACGCACGTACACAATGTCGTCGTTGCAGTGTTCAGAGCTAATGAAATTCAGTAATATAGTAGCTCAGTTTTTAGGGGCGAAACTCGTTATAGCGGCACCCGTTCGTCCCCCGTAGTATGTAACAAGTATAACATTTTGACCTCCAAGGTGGTGCCAGTGAGAGACTTCTTCTGTGCTTTGTTCAATAAAAAATAGTGCTCAATGTACATGTCAATGGCTGCTAATGGGGAATGAGAGACAGGAGCATTCGGCTTTTAGTTAACGCGCAAGCTGCGATCACTATTAGCAGCCATTGGCATGTACATTGAGCACTATCTGACAAGAAGGGTTGCTACGTTATACTCGCTGGGTGTAACCTCCTTAGCTTTAGAAAGGTTTAGCGAGCGTTGAGCCGCAGTGCCATGAATACAATGAACTTGTATATACCATGAATGAACTCGAGGTGGTTAAAAATGGGAAGTAGATACGAAGCGCAAGCCGTAAGAAAGTAAAAGGCGAATTCTCCGCCTCTCATTTCCCATTAGCAGCCATTCGCATGTACATTGAGCACTATCTGACTGAAAAAGTTTGCTACGTCATACTCGCTGGGCGTAACCTCCTTGGTTTTAGAAAGGTTTAGCGAGCGTTCGGCCGCAGTGCCATGAATACAGTGAACTAGTATATACCATGAACTCGAGGTGGTTAAAGGTGGGAAGTGGACCCGAAGCGCAAGCCGTAAGAAAGTGTGCGTCTTCCACCTCTTGTTTAGTTCTTGGAATGTCCGCTGGATGGCGGTGCTACTATATGGGGAATATGGGAGCATCAAACGCGTTATTCGAAGGTCGTAAAGTCGACTCCTGCTCACAGCTGGGTTCAGTCGGTCGGACGTAGAGGTCGGACGTGTTTTTGGTGAGCTCCGGAATGACAGCTACAGATAAGTGTTTTAGATGCGGAGCATCTTATACTCGCGCCTTGTAGTGCGCCGTCCGCGCCGTCCGCGCCGTCCGCACCGCTTCTCGAACATTCGACAGCTGACGCGCGCGCATGCGCCGTCGCGCCGTCGCCCACTCTTCCACCATCGGTGCATCCCTTCCTCCTCTACACACCGCGCGCGCTTCACTCCTCCACCATCTGTGCACCCTTCCTCCTCTACACACCGCGTTCGACATCTACAATTCTCCTGATTCTCCAGTGGACGCGCATGTGGCGTCGCGCTTCGAGAACATTCAACAGCTGACAGTGCATGCGCCGTCGTGCTGTATATATACTCAAGGTCCGCCCTCGCTCACTCAGTTGCCGCTCGTCGGTTGGTTTGTACGGCGCGTCGACGTCCAAGGTCGCGGTGAAATGAATTCCAACGAATCCACAAACACAATGATCGACGTCCCTTCGACCAGCGCCGCCCTTTCGCATACGTGTGTACGTGTTCACTCATTTAACACCCCCTCCTACAACCACGTTAACCAATTTAGCCATCGACCCAAGTAAGTCGCAATTTAACACCCCATTTCACAACCACGTTAACCAATTTAGCCATCGACCCAAGTAAGTCGCACTTTAACACCCCGTTAACCAATTATATGGTCCGCATCCTCCTCAGTGTTCCCCCGAGGGAAGCTGCGGGCAATTTTTTTGCATGTTTCCAGCTTGCCTCTGTATGTAGCGTTATGAGAACGTAAGGCGCTAGCGTAAAGCTTGATTAGGTCTAGTACGGTGTACGGTGTACGTTTTTTTTTTAGTATTTTGTACTGTGCCTTTTTTTCTCCAGCCACCACGTGGCTGAGGCCTGCGCGTAGACCGACCACGTGCATGCGCAGGTGCTGTGAAGTGTAGCGTATTTATTTATTATTGCGGTTCTTTTTGGCTTAGACCAGTGTATTTTAGTACAGTTTTCTAACACGTGGGCATCGGTAAACTGAGCTAGCCATGGTCAAAAAGACCGTAAAGTGTTCAGAGTGCGGGGTAGGGTGGAAGGTGGAAATTAGTGCGGAAGAGAAAGCAGAAGATGACGCCAAGTGTAGACAGTGCGAGTTCGAGGATAAAATGAAAAATATGATGGCGGTCCAGAGTGGGCTCATGGAGAAAATCGCAGAGCTGGAGAATGCATTGGCGAAGGAGCGAGAGAAAACGTCAGCCATGGAGGAAAGGCTCCGGGCAGCCGAGAAGGGCCTATCGAAGGTCGTGAAAGGGAACGAAGACGCAGGTGACGGCGGAAGCATTATGGCGACGACCCCCCGTGCGGGAGAGATGAGGGAAACAGGCATGGCAAAGGCAGATACATTGGCCACAGGGCCCAGCTACCGGGAAATAGTTTTGAGGGAGGGAGGGAGCAAACCAGCAGCCGTGACTCACGCTAGTCACCTAGTCAGCAGCCAGGTGCAGGTTTCAGAAGGAATGTCTGAACAGGTCATCATCGCCGGTGACTCAAATTTAGTCCGATGCGCAGCGGCAATCAAAGAAAGGGTGAAAGGCGACAAGAGAGTTGCGATAGGGACGTTCCCAGGACAAACGCTGGGGACAGTAATGAGTCAAGCGGGTGAACAACTCGCAGCTAAAGCTAACAATCATAACCTCGTTGTAATTGCGGGAGGGTTAAATGACGTCCTGAAAAAAGAATCGTCAGGACTAGCGACGACCTTGGCGAAAGGGGTGGATGACATGCGCACCGTGTCCCCCCAGGTGCAAATTGTAGTATGCACAGTACCGGAAGTACCAGTACGCAACGTCAACCTGCAAAGAGCGGTTGTCGACGCAAACAAAAAGATATGGCGAATTAGTCGAGAGAAGGGTTTCGAGGTAGTGGATTTAAACAGGGAAGTGCACAGGTGGGGTGGATTCCAAAGAGACAGGATTCATTTCGATAAGAGGCTTGGACACGAGGTGGGCTGGCGACTGGCAGGACGCGCAGTAGCTTATTTGGGGGGCTCACGGGCCCTTCGGAGTCCGGGGTAGCTCGTAACAGGGAAAACAACCAGGAGGACGCTTTGACAGGTAGAATTGCGAAAAATCAGAAAAAAGGTAAAAGAAAAAGGAAAAAGGCGCGTGTTGCAATTAGTTACATAAACATGCAGGGTGGCAGAAAGAAGGCAAAATGGTTAAAGATTGAGGAGCAGTTAAACAAAGAACAGATACGCGTGTATGCGGTTACAGAAACACACCTTAGAGACTTGGAAGAGCCACCACATATTAAAAATTATGTTTGGGAAGGGTGTAACAGGACCATATCGGAGAGGAAAGGTGGGGGTGTAGGAATGCTAATTCACCGCGGAGCCAAATGGGTTAGAGTGAAACAGACGTGTTCAGAGCACCTCTGGGTTCTGGGCACAGTAGGTGGAAAGGAGACGTGGCTAGGGGTAGCCTACTTGTGGACGGGGAATAACTGCAGAGAAAAGAATCAGGAGATAGTGGATTGCATGAGTGCGGATATTAAGGAATTTGGTAATGGGGCCGAAATCATCCTTCTAGGGGACATGAATGCCCACATACATGACCTTGACGGATATTCAGACACCAATGGGAAGTTATTACTAGATCTTTGCGAGCAACATAGTCTGGAGATAGTTAACACGGGGCCTAAATGTGACGGCCAGATCACATGGGAAGTCGGAAACAAGCAATCAAGTATTGATTATTGTCTCATGACTGAAGGAATTTACCACAAACTGACAGAAATGAGGATAGACGAGGAAGGCATTAACAGCTTGGGTAGTGATCATAAACGAATAACATTATAAATGAAAATATGAGCATGGAATCAAAGTCTGGCAGCTCGTATTTAAATGACAAACAAATAATAAATATAGCCGCAAGAGTCGAGGAAGAAGTAGGCGAAATACCAGGCAAGGACTGGGAGTATAGTGAGCTGTTACATCTAATGACGAAGGAGATAGGGAAAGAGAAGAAAACTGTTTGCTGGAAAGGAAAAAGGAAGCCAAAAAGTTGGTGGAACAAGAAAATCCGGGAGGCGATCGAGAAGCGACGCGAAGCATCACGGGAGCATAGAAAGGCAAAAAAGGAGAAGCGGCCGCAGGACGAAGTCAAAAAAATATGGGAAATATATTTAGAGAAAAAATACCTTGTACAGAAATTGGTAGAGGCCAAAATTAAACGTGAAAGTGAACGCTGGATGACAGAGATACACGAAAAAAAGGAGGCCGCGCCTAGGATTTTTTGGAGCCACATAAAGGCGCTAGGTAGGAAGTCTGTCACAACGCAACAACATATTCTAGATGAAGGAGGAAATCAATTGGAAGGGTACGAAGCGCTAGGTTACATCCAAAAGGTAACAGCCGATTCGTTTCAAAAGAGCGTCCAGGGGATCTCCCCGGTGAGTAAAAGTGTGGCGGAGAAAGCAACAGAGGAAGAGCTAGTACTTGATAATTTCAACTGGAAAAAGGCCGAAAGAAAAATTCCAAAGCGCACTGCCGCGGGTTTAGATGGGATTCCCGTTAGCCTCATTAACGAACTAGGACATAACACTAAAGAAGCATTGTTAAAAGCAGTAGAAAAAAGCTTAAAGGACGGACAAATACCGGACAGTTGGCGGCAAAGTAGAATGACCTTAATCTATAAAGGCAAGGGAGAAAAGGACAAGATTCGCTCATATAGACCACTAACCATTACATCGGTACTATACAGGTTGGCGATGCAAGCAGTAAAAATGAAAATAGAAACATGGGCCGAACATAACGATATTTTGGGAGAACTTCAGAACGGATTTCGAGTCGACAGGCGGTTGGACAATAACCTGTTTGTTCTCACTCAGTGTATAGAAATATCTAAAATAGAGAATAGGCCCTTGTACGTGGCTTTTCTAGACATCACTGGGGCATACGACAACTTTAATCAGGAAATTTTGTGGGATATATTGAAAGGAATGGGCATGGGCGACGACTGTATACAGCTTTTGAGGGAGATATACCGAGAAAATACAGTTTGCATAGAGTGGGAAGGAATGCGTAGCAAAGAGAACGTTGAGGTTAGCAGGGGTCTGAGACAGGGATGTCCTTTGTCCCCGCTGTTATTCATGCTGTACATGGTGAGTATGGAAAAAGCGCTAGAAGGTAGCAACATTGGTTTTAATCTGTCACACAAACAGGGCAGCATGATGATTGAGCAGAAGCTTCCAGGTTTATTTTATGCGGACGATATCGTCTTATTTGCGGACAGTCGAGATGATATACAGCAGCTGGCGAATATATGCGGAAGGGAAGGTGAAGCTCTTGGACTAGGATTCAGTGTAACGAAGTGTGGATTGATGGTATTCAATGATCCCTGTGATCAGACGGTGTCCATACAAGGCCAAGAAATACCGAGGGTAAGTGAATACAAGTACCTTGGAGTATGGGTAAATGAGAGTGATAGATACATGGAGGTACAGGAAAAAGCCTCGGCAGCAAAAGGAAAGAGGAATGCGGCAATAATGAAGCACAGAGCGTTGTGGGGATACAATAGGTATGAGGTGCTTCGAGGTCTGTGGAAGGGTGTAATGGTTCCAGGGCTTACTTTTGGGAACTCAGTGGTGTGCATGAGGGCAGAGGTGCAATCGGGAATGGATGTAAATCAAAGGACTGTGGGACGCCTCGCGTTGGGTGCTCACGGGAAAACGACAAACGAGGCTGTAAAGGGCGATATGGGTGGGCAGGTTTTGAGGCGAGGGAAGCGCAGAGCAAAATAAGGTTCGAAGAAAGCTAAGAAATATGAAGAAGAGTAGATGGGCAGAGAAGGTGTTCCGTTATTTGTATAGGAAGAGCGTGGACACACAGTGGAGAAAAAGAACTAGATGACTCACTAGTAAATATACGGCTGGTATTGTGAGCCATATGTCAACAAAGAGCGTTAAGGGAAAAGTCAGGGAGGCGGAGAGGATTTACTGGATGGCAGCTATGGAGAAAAAACCGGCTTTGAGTAACTACCGAAAGGGCAAAAATGAAATAAGGAGGGAGGCATTTTACGATAATTCAAGGGGAAGCGCTTTACTGTTTGAAGCGAGATCGGGTTGCCTTAGAACGCGTAGTTATAAAGCAAGATTCAGTAAAGAAGAAGAACAATGCACATGCTGCGGGAAAGATAAGGAAACGGCGGAGCATGTTCTGATTGAATGTGGAGATATCCACCCAGGTGTACGTTTGGGCGCGAGCCTACAGGAAGCCTTGGGTTTTAGGGACAACAATGGAAAGCTGAACACACCCGCGATTGAAATAAGTAAGAGACGGTTAGAGTATTGGTGGCAGAAAATTAGAGAGAAAGGACAAACATAAATATTGGAAAAATAAAATATGGACAGTGTGCCGTAAATGGCAGAGAACTTAAGATGAAAATTTACCTTTTTTTCCATTAAGATAGAATTTATCGAAGTAGAGGCATTAGGCCAACATAAAAAAGAAAAAAGGTTTTTTTTTTTTTTGTCGAGCCTGGTGACATACTTGTCACCACCCCGTTATAAAGGGGACGCTCATAGCATCCATTCATTTCATCCGAATATATGATGAAAAGATGCGAGATGGTGGTACTTGGAGTGTTGAATAGATGGACGAGCGGACACATAGACAGATGCATGGATGGACGCATGAAGAGACGCAAGGGCGGCGGCATGGACGAACGCAGGGACGGACGCTCGAACAGACGCACGCACGGACGGGCTGATGGACGCATGGACGGTCACACTGACGGACGCATGGACGGACAGAAACAAGAACGAATGGACGGATGAATTCTTCACCCCACTCTTCATCATTCACTCCGTGGATATGCTGCCATTTTTTTAAATAGACTAAACACTATGAGAACAATTATGGCGAACCCATACTAACCGAATTTTGTTAAACTTGCAACTCAAGGCCTAAATACTGCCTATATCTGTGATTTTCTAAAGCGAACAACTCAATTAAACACAACATTGAAATTAATTGATTGCCACGTTAAAACAAACAGATGTTAATGTACAGAAGTGTCTTATTCTTACAACACTAACAGACATTGTTAAAAAAAACTGATGTGAGTGCATGAATATTAGTCGATATACAAAAGTTGTTGTAGGCCCTTGTGCTCAGATTTTGGTGCACGTTAAAGAACCCCAGGTGGTCGGAATTTCCAGAGCCCCCCACTACGGCGTCTCTCATAATCATATGGTGGGTTTGGAACATTAAACCCCACATATAAATCAATCGATATACAAAAAGTGAAGGCTCAATCATACGAGAATTATTGGTGAATCAATGATGTAATGTGGGCGCCAGGCATCGGATAAGACAGTGGCTCTTTTTAAACGTGATTAAGCCACCCTGAAATGTACTTACTCGCTGCTGCTGTCTTCTTTCTTTAATAATTGCTCTGCAGACTTCCTTGAAATACCGAAATGGTTCGGTGTTTAGAAGTTTAGCCTTCAACACTTTTACTAATCCTGGGCACAGGACTGAAAAATGGAAGCAAATGAAGTTAACTAAAGATGAAAGGGCGTAGCACATAAGTTTGGGCTTACATTTCTAGTAGAAGTTAGCAGACATAGAGGATATATTTGCACTTACCAAATAATATCACCGCCAGGTTTATTCCACCGGAAAAGGCTTTCGAAGCATTTGTCACAAACTCGCTGTCTGGATCTCTGTGCGACTCAAGCTCGGTGCCGAATGCGCACTTCGCTATCACGTCCAGTGCGTAATGGCCATAAAACCTTAGAAAGAAAAAAACGTGATTTATTTTTATGCAACAGGTTTCAAAATTGTAAAGCACTCATGTAGTCGACAAACAAAATGCGTTTGTCATTGTATACTGCATTGAATGGTGGACGCGTAACTTGGAACCTTCACTATAGGGAAATTTGCGGCTGGGTTTTAGTGTACATTTTTTTTTATATGTACCTTCGCCTTCTTGTAACAACGAAATGAACAGCTCCAATGCAAACTGATAGGTTTGCAAACGACTGCGCCGACCTATATATTGAGTATTTCACGACCTTATTATTCTGTATCATGAGTTGAAAAACTTAGCAATATCAATGGGCAGCGCGCATGAAATGAAAACAAAATTGTATTTTTTGGCTGATTTGGTTGTGTACGTCAGCAATGTGAGCACCTAATGTTGCTTGACGAATCAGTAGAGCATACCTGTCTTCTCAAAATGCAGTAAAACCAAGAATGCGGGCATATTGGACCCTTGACTGGATTGAGTGCCTGCCAATGACGATAGTGACATAAAGTTTGTGAAGAGAGTCAACAATTAAAAGCAGGGTCCACATCCACAGAAAAATTTATCTGTAGGAGAAATTTAGCAGGAAACAAAATTTGGCAGATCCCACGTACCTGGGAATCAACATTATGCGAAGCACGTGGAGGGAAGGTAACCATGTTGCATTTTTTTTGAGCGACACGTCATGAAATGACGCTAAATATATGTACAAATGTTGCACGCAGAGACATATGTTGAAGAGAGCAGGAAATGTGTTTTAGCAATACCAGACGCTGATATGAAGCGCTGATCTCGCGAAGATGCTGGCCCTTGACACTGCTACTTAAATCAATTTCAGCACGTGGCACCTCACCACAATTGACGTTAACCCGACGTGACAGCTGTATGAAAAGAGTACATATGTATTGTTTATCAAATTGGCTATGCGGCACAGCAACCATTATTGACGTTTCACGAAAATTAGGGCCTACTTGAAAAGTAGTTCCGAGACCTGGCGTAGCTCTGTGGTAGAATGCTTGACTGCCACGCAGAATGCTTGGGTTCGATTCCTGCTGGGACACTGAAATTTATTATTTGCATTCGTCGGGTGGCCATCGCTGCCCATGTCAGGTTTTTCTTAACAATGAAATTTATTCTATGCTTCGTTTGGTCGACGCTACCGATGTCGGGTATTTGCTTAACGCTCACGCGTTGAAATGGCCCATGTGTGTTCTTGTCGTTCCTGGGTAGATAGTAAGTGTCGATCACCTGTGGCGCATACCCGCTTACCAGCGGCACATACCCGCCCGTGTGTATGTGCCACTGTCTGACGGGAAGTGTTTGACGACGTACGATACGGGATTGTGACATTATTCATGTCTTGACCAGCACGCCACATTCGTCAAACCATCTTGCCCTTCCATGCTAATTTTGGTTCACGCCAAGTTAAGGGGTTCACCACGAGAGCACCCAAACGTAAGCGGCTAGATAGATAGATAGATACGCTCAAAGTCGCCGAAGTTCGCCAAGAAACGCTTCGCATTTAAAACACAAGCCAATACAAAGGCAGCTTACGCATTATTATCGAGTGCGAGTGAGCAAACAGAAGGGGATTACAGGACGTTACGAACAAAATGTGTCGTGAATTTGGCAACATACGGGAAAGCAGGTAATGCAACAATAACAGATGCAAAAAAGACATTATGTGTACTAATTCATAACACCATTGCAAGTACCCGGTAAATGCTCACTTCCTCATACAGTTGCCGCAGTAGACAGAGAGAGAATAAATTGAGAGAAAAGCAGGGAGGTCAACCAGCATAGCAGAATTCAGTTTGCTACCCTGCACTAAGAGGAGAGGGAATGGAGGACAAAGATGAGAAGGAAAGCGGAGAACAAAATAGACGTGGCAAAAAAATTGACCCCGTATCTGCACGTTTTACTGCAAATGTCGTCGAAATTTGTGATAGTGTTCCGTCTGGAGAGAGTGAACAAAACGTTTATTGGATGTTCTGCGCTAGAAAATCGGTCAATGGAATGCAGGGAGGCGCTGCGTTAGACTTGAGCGCCATCTGGCAGTAATCTTGGAAAATGAAAGGATGGCCTCCGATATAGCCAGCGCGTGGCGTACACGTGCCACGTGAACCCATAACTTGTAGAATTCAAGGCCGCGGGTAGGTGGCAGCACCGTATCGTCTTAGCAAACACCCGTCTTTTAGTGCGTAGCGTCGCATCTACAGCGCAGCGTAATAAATTCTATGGCTCTTAGAATTACTTATGTGGGCTTTGTCTAGTATAATATTGCACACACGCAAATATAGGCGTATTGATATTGTGCCTCAGTTATGCACAATATTTCATTTTTAATCGACAATGCGGACAAGTATGAACGCAGAAACCAGATCAACATTCGTGGGCGTTGCGGAAGTGGTTGACCTTAAGCCTAGCTGAACCATTTGGTCGACCACCTGTGGTCGACCAAATGGTGGTCGACCAACCATTTGGTCGACCACCATTTTAAAAATAACAATGGCGAAGATGCTATGACCTATTCAGTATGCTACTACGATGCAATAATTCAATAAGGCCTTGAGTGAACTTCTGTGCGAAGGCAGATTGTGTTGGCATTCGAGCACTGACTACTCTGATAAGGGTCTGTCGTCAAGGTGGGCTAATGCAACAGTTTAAGTATGATATATGTTGTTTCAAGTTTTACAAAATCCCAAGAAACTAACTTATCCTTTACCGCTTGACATCCACGTCTTTGTCCTTCTCAGCGACTTTCTTAAGGTGCTCTGATGTGACTTTGGCACACGCCTGAATCAAGTCGTTCATCTGAAAAAAAAATAAAAGGAACGCTCAGAATTGCATTTGTTACTACTACAGACACTCATAATTTAAAAAAATGCCATTTAAATGCAGCATACTACTGCAACAGTTCAGCACTCTGCCTTTTATCTTTCTTTTCGTAGTTGCTTAAGCAGCATATCAAAGTTGAGTACATTAAAGTTCACAACACCTCAAAGTTTAGCGTCCTTTAGGATTCGAAGGTTTAAGTTCAGCATGAATCGACCGGTTTGTAAGGGCATTGTTGTCTGCAGCTCTTCTTTCACCTATAGCTTTTAAAATTAATAAGACTTATATGTGATTTCAAGGCGGTGACGTTAACGAGCTCGTTTTGATGTGATTTTGGTGTCGGCGTCGGTGTTTGTGCGCATAAAATCGGCTTGATCTATGGGCGAAAATTTCCAGATTGATGCTAATAAATAATTAATAAAATGTCCCAGTGAAAATTGAACCGAGGCCTTCTGCGTGGACAGCAGGTGGTCTACCTCGAAGCCACGCCAGTGCTTGAAGCTGGACGAAATTTGCGGAGGCCTCCGCTATACGGTGTCCCTCATATAGCCTGAGCCGTATTGTGAAAATTGGGATGCCGAACCATGAAAACTAACCTAATATCAAATGTTTGGAGAACGGCGTGGTATTTATCATGCTGGTTTGACTTACGGTTACTTTCCGATATAATTTAATAACCTTAGAAAAACGTTATGTTGATTTCACACTGAAAGTTGCACATATATTCTCGAATTTGAGGCTCTGTAAAAAAAAATTTTGTTAAGTCTTCGATAGTGTAACACGTGACATATAACTGCTGTAAACAAGAAGAAAAGAAAACGAAGAAACATTGTAGGGCAAGATGGTTGCCATTATACTCTATGCTGTGGCACTTTAAAGGATGTGCACGGCTTAATTGCGTGTACATAACAACCGTTGTTAATGCTTATGAATGACAAACAGCTTGCCTGAAGGGCCTTCTGGTATGGTATACGTATACTTTGTGTTGCTCTGGTTATTCCTCTTGCTTTTTGTATTTTTATTGCACTTACCAGTCAGCACAGAAATGTTGTAACCCTTCCTCTCTTTGAGTTTAGTTTGAGTTTATTCAGCCATGATGGGACAAGTCGATGAAGATACACTGTATACGTAGTTTGGTGCAAAGGAAAAAGTGCATTGAAGAGCTTGACAGGCCTCTTCATCCAGAAAACAAATCAGAATATAAGATTACAAAAATTACAAAAAAATCATAGGTAGCGGAAAGCGACAACATAACAAGAACGCGCATCGGGCCTATGATGGCAATTGAAAAAAAAAAAAAACTCTGAAATACGTACAAAATATTCATAACAAAGCAATGTGTGAACGAATAAAAATATGCATAACTATCACAAAAATCAGCCAGTATTCATGAACAACACAATCAGCACGTTGAATTGAATACGTCCAAATTAACCCCTTCATCCCTGGATTTTCGTTTTGGTCAAATACATTTTGTGCTTGTTTTTTGTTGTTGTTAGGACTTCAGAAGACCAAAAATGATGGTGCAAGAATTTCTCGAATAATTAACATGGTGTCAAATTAGTTAATTAGGGCTCAGTGATTAGAAACGAAATTGGCAGCTTTATCTCCGCTAATAATTAGTGTACACAAAAAGCGAATCAATGTCTTGTCAGCCTTATACTCATTAAAACAGCTTCGATACGACGTCCCGAAAATCACGCTTATCCGCCTCACCTTACACGCTTCGGCTTTACCGAAGACTTCGCTCACGCTTATTTTTTTTTTATTTTTTTTGTGGCTGCTACCTCTGCAAACGTGCCGCAATATTGATATCAATTGCAGTGGGGATCATCTAAGAACTACTTTCGCAAGAATGAGCACTATTGGTAACGTTTCCGAGATGGTAGGGGAAACGTTGTGAGGTGGTGTCAATTGACACCGCCAGAGCCGAAAGGGTTAACATGCGCTTTGATAGTGCGTGCTGTATTTCAGGAAAAAACGAGAAGCGTTACCAATGCTCTCTTGAGAGTGAAAATGTGCACTGACTCTGGAGTATGTCTTGAGGCCCTCCCGACTTACCCGGCGCATTTTCGCTGTCGTGAAGGCAGGACTTGACGAGGGCCTTATCTTTCTCCAGAGGTCGATGGGTGCTGTAGCCATCATGTTGTCCAGAATCGGATCGAAAAAGTTGATCAGCTGTAGCCAGATAAGAAAGAAGACATTGTTCCTCAGTAGTATACGTTTTCTTATTCTGGCAGCGATGTTCATGTATGCAGCCGTCAGCGCGCATATCTCGAACACTTTGGCGCGTGGCCTCAACCCGCTTCAACTGACGCCATTGCCGCCAAGCATTGGACACTGTATGTTTGTCGTAGCCAACGACAGAGGGAGCGTGGGTCGATTTCACTAGTAAATTCATGTTTCACTTCCGCGTGACAAGTGCGTCGAATACCTTCACTTGCCAGGTCCACTCTGGGCACGTTTCACTCGTGGCCACAGTTCCTCACGAGAGCCTATGCAATTTGTCGTCGCATTTCTTACATAGGCGCGCGGCCTGCTGCACATAATGGTTCAGTAGAGGGATAAGAAAACGTCAAGTAATTTCATGGGCGCGCGTGAAAACGCAGTGCCTGGCAAAACGCGGTGCAAGAAGCCCGCCAAGTGAGTGTATTCGACGCGCTGGACAGTAAGATGTGAAAAGAAATCGTGAAAGAGAAACTGAGCCAAGCCACATCCACGGCCGCAGTATGAGAGGGCGCATCGTGCGCTTTTTCATCCAGAGGCCGCGCTACATCTATCGTTATGGCAAACATACCGTGTCCAACACTTGGTGGCACTGGCGTCAGTCGAAGCAGCTCGAGCCCACGCGACGGAGCTTTCTAGTTGAGCGTGCTGATGGCTGTACGTGAGATGACGTAAAAATACTAATTTCATACATTACATACGGCTCCATTGGACATGCCAGGTGAAATGCACAACGCGGTTCTTCTGCTGTTTTGTTTTCTTCACCGTTGTGTTCATAGAAAACTGCGAATGCTTCAGAAGCTGTGCCGACGAAGGCGGCCACAGAAAGTATTTAACGAGCATCTTTAAGCCTAAGACTTAAATTTCAGCGACAGATAAACATTTCAATGCATGCATGCGGCCCTTCAGGTGATCATTGGATTATGCGTATACTACTCCCTGCATTAGGTCTCTCCTCCTGTAGTGGCCTGTTTTTCCAGACCTCACAATAATTCACGTTATCCTAACGAACCGATGAGCATACGCGCGCTTTGGTGACAGAGTTCTCTGCCCACGTTTCTCTGCAGCCCAAAAAGGGCTATAGCCCGTTAACACTATAAGACCAGAATACATAGTTCCAATACACGTGGCTCGCATTGATGTTTTGTTTATTTTCAATTTTTATCCACCATTTTTCTTGCGAGCAAGAGCGTGTTGATTCATAAAATTAGTAGTCATAAGATAAATTACCCATTTCTGATACAATTAAAATTTCGAATAGATATAGCATTCTGACCAAGTAAACCTTTAGCGCAAGCCCGCTGGTGCCAATGTGTTTTCAGGCACCTAGTTAAGAGGCCTAGCAAGCCAACACAAGACAACTACGTGCGCGTTTGTTACTACCTAAGAGTTATGCTTGACTTGACCTGCTTTCTTAGCAACCTCAGCTGCCATTTATTAATTAAGCAACCAATGCTTTTGGGAGTGCAGGAAAATCAAAATGCGATGCAAACATCGGGACCTGTTCTTGAAATTTTCACTCTTTTCCAAAGAGATATTGACTAAACTTTCTTTGTTTAGAACCAATAGAGGACGCTGTCAGATCATGCTGTACATCTTCATATGCCTTCCCCAAAGTTAATATGACTCAGAACGGCAAGTGCACGTACGCCAAAATTGATATTTTCTCCTTCTTTTTTATATATTTTTATGCTGAAGAGAGGGGGGTGGAGGGGGTTTGTGATTGATGCGTAATACTGCGCAGCATGTTCGTCTAAAACGTTTTTAACACAAGTTAATTAAATCTAGCTTTAGTATCACGTTCATGTTCATGCTGAAATACATTTGCTAAGGCGATAGAGTTAGATAGCCCGTTCCGCGGAAATTCCGGCCTCATCGATTGATTTATGTGTGGGGTTCAACGTCCCAGAACTACCATATGATTGAGAGACGTCGTAGTGGAGGTCTCCGCAAATTTTGACCTCCTGGAGTTCTTTAACTTGCACCCAAATCTGAGCACACGAGCCTACAGCATTTTCTCCTCCATCGAAAATGCAGCCCCCGCCGCCGGGATTCTATCCCGCGACCGGCGGGTCAGCAGCCGAGTACCTTAGCCACAGGACCATGGCCGCGGGGCAGAAGGCACGGCGTCGGCGTCGTTGGTTGTGATTGAAAAAATTATCTTGTGCGTGACGGAAAAATCGAGAACAACGCAAATACCATGTGGTAAAATAATTTGTAGTCAGAGCGGGAATCAAACCCGGGTCATTTGTCCCAAATGGGAATCATACCCAAGTCGTCTGCGTGGAAAGTGGATCGTCTACCACACGACCGCGCGTCTGCTCGTGTTATATTGAAAATAACTTCATATGCGTGGAAACGCGGTGAAAGTGACACGTGATTTGCAAACGCATCCTCAATACAAGCTTCACAATGCAACATGAAATATTGTTGTAATAATGCTGCTACAAGCACCCATTGCAATCGGGCATAAGAACATATGATTATCATAATGACTTCGTAATTTAAAGGTAATTTAAACCTCTACAAGAAGCGCACACGCTACTGCGCCTGTTTCCTTAAAGCCCCGCAGTGGGTGCATAGCAAGTTCAAAAAGGGTTCATGCCCTAAGTGTTTGAATAAGCACTACAAACAGAAGATCGCTATAGAGTTCAACTCCTAAAGACGACGCTTTAGGGTTCCCTAATTTTTTTTTCAATTTTTGAAACAACCCATTATGCCTAGTTGTAGAAAGCACAAAGTTTAAGAACGGCTTATAATCGGCAAATGTATTTTTTTTGTGTGTGGTGTAAGTCTTTTTTCTGCTCTTATTGGAAATATGATTTTTCTTAATTGAATTGTGCCTCCGTTTTATATACGCGTTCGAAGTTTGTATCCCCATGCCAACGTCGTTGTTGAGTCTTTTTTCCTGTGCGAATATTGTGTGAAAATTCGTTCTATGTCATGTTTATTAAATACTACTTCAATTAATTAGACAAAAAGAGACTTTGCAGGTGGTTGAGGAAGAAAAGCGTGACATGTTTGCGTAGATTTACCCATTGTTTGTTTTGTGGTGCTTGAGTCATTAGCCACCTAGATTTTGATGCGTAATTTTTTTTTGCTATTCGGAAAATAACAAAGGAAGAAAGCTTCTTTGTGTTTTGTAATGCCTTGAAAATGCAATATTATTTGATAATACGATATTTTACAATATTTCAACTTGGAAAAATTGAAAGCGTAGATAGCTCGGAATAATTCATTTTTCATGGCAGTACACTCATCAATAGCGTACACGTCACCCTTGACACATATTTATGGCAGGAAAGTACCTATGTATAAAAAAGGTCCTCAAGCGAGTAATATCATCATTAACATTGTGGTAAGAAAAACGACTCCCCAAAGGTGTGAACTGTGTTCAGGTCGCAAATAAAAAAAAATTACAAATACTTGCGTCTTTACTTACCCGCCTGTTGCACAGTATCGGAAAGTCCTTCACGAGTACTAGTTTTACCATGTCGGGCTCACCAACAGTCAGGGGCGGCCTAACTCCCTCAAAATACCTGAACGTGTTCAAAGAAAACAAAAAAAAAAACATGTGTGCATGCCGAGTAATTCTTCTTGTGATTCACCATGAGGTGGTAATGGAGTCCACGTACCCGAATATTCTTCCAAGCTTCAGGTAGCGTTCTTGATCCAAAACGTGCACAGGCTGACCGGAAGGAAATCGAGCAGTATTTTAATGTAACCTTTGTCTTTCGGCTCATCTTTCATGTTAGATTTCTTTTTAATCTTAACACGTTACTTGCTTGTATTTTTCTTTCGAGAAAATATTTCGGTTGTATGATATCCCTATTTAACATATCCTTTAGGCAAAGCACATAACTCGCAGATATAGACATCAGTATAGAAGAAAATCGATTCACACAAGAGCAAATCACATTATCTGCTCCCATTAGAGAAAAATTAAATAACTTTTTAGCAGGACCCACATTACATCGCTGCGCATGCTCTTCGTTTACATTCAAGAATTTTTGTGGCATGATAGAGAATAAAACATACTTCATAAGAGTTTTTCTCAAAGTAAAAAAAAACAATGCAGCATCGAATTTTAGAAATCATTTACCTGGCTAATTGCATAGCCCATATAGCAAGAAAACATGGCAAACAATCTACCACGCCAGCAGAAAACGGTGTGATCGGTACCGGTTATATGTAAACTATTCTGTCATAAAAGTATCGCCTTTCCAAACGTTTGTTATTTCAAAAACCATGCAAATGTACATTATGATGGCCCTTGAACTTTATGATGGCCCTTGAAAATTATCGCTTTGAAATACGTATCCTCTCATTCACGAAAACACAAAAAACTTCGTCTAAACGTAAAACATAGACACATCGACACAGTTTCAAGAAATACGACATGCTCGAAGTTTTCCTGAGGCTGTGCACAATGGTGCGCCGCGATTTCTATTCAGTTCACTGATTTATGTATTCTACTGTCTGCATGCGCTCGCGGGCGTCCGATTTCATTAAAAGTAAAATTACAACGTGTAAGAAACGATTGTGGGATTTCACTGGTGGTGCAAGTTCATCGTTACGGGAATAGACTACGTTCACATAACTTAGGACGGTCCAAATTAACATAGAAGTTACTAAAATTAACCAGAGAGGACTCTGTCGATGCGATCGTTCAACGACGATGGGAATGATGGATAGTACACACATTTGCCTAGTCTTCATACTTGCGGGGGGCGTATTGTACTTGCGGCTTCGTTTATTGCTGTGTTTCGTTTTTTTTTTCGAAATAAAGAACGAACCTTTTTGAACTTCGTGACCCAATTTGAAATGATAAGCCTAAAAGAATAAGGTGGTGAAGCGCAACCGCTGAACATTTGCCGAGTGTTGTTTCGTGAGAAAGCAGCTCCAAGCCACACGAACGCACACGGAGCCACAAGCAGGCCAGAAGTACAAAGATTAGACAAATGTGTGTACTACCCATCATTCCGATGCTCGCTGAAGCGCCGTGCGTTGCAGCTGCCATAGACACTAGCGCCGAAGTTACCTCTAGTGTATATTAGGAAAACCTATGCTAATGAAGACTTGTGTCGAAGCTAAGCGCACACGCTAACGCATGTTTAAGTACATCAGCTAGGTAACAAAAACGCACTTGCAACTCCCTATTCGTTCAACAACATAATTTCAGTGGTCAAGAAAGAGACTTGGAGCGGCATTCAAATTATACTTCATAACAGAGTATTGTCGATACTCAAGTCACAAAAGAACATTAGTTTCACACTTTCGCCGTCGACCTTCGGTAATGAAAGGACAGTTAGGCCGAAAATCAGTAAAATGGGCCAGTTTGATGTTCCCTAACAAAGAGATGTGCGAATCGTTTTGTATGCATAAAGCGACCTACCTTCAACAGAAAGCTGGTCGCTGGCCCAAACAGCAGAGAAAACTTCTCGTGGGTTACGTTTTGCTTCTTCCAGTAGTTGCTGTTTCTTGCCGCATACCTGCCAGATTATTTGAAGATAACCGTATATAAGCTTATTCGTATAAAATGAAGAGATAAACAGTATACTACCGCTTTCGAAGGAAGTTGCGCCAGTTCCAAACTAATACAGCCTTTCTTTACAGCCCAAGTGCAACGACAAAGACGAAGCGCATTGATTCCATTGGCACTCATTTCAGAAAAAAATGTAATTAAATATTCAAGTCGATGCTGCGCTTTAGTGTTGGTTGGTTATATGGTTCCTCAACACCTTGGCGCCACCCACCTAGGGGGATAGGCCATGAATGAGACGGTGCCTTGCTTTTTAAATTAATTCAGTTCTTGAAAGGGAAGTTTGGAATAATAAGGTAATATAGGTAATATTTTAAAGGTATTAGAATTATAAACAAACAGAAAACCTTGAAAAGGAAACCATAGTAAACACACAAAAAGAAAAAATTCTGTACTTAAAACAACTGAATTCATCTATGTTTAGCATTTTATTCTTTGAGTTCTCGTAAGAAATTGGTAACAGCGGTAAAAAACGTTCCTGTGGCTGAAACCTAATGCGACTGCGCCAAATGAAAGAATCACCGGGAGCGTCAAGTTTAGGTCCAACTTTCGTAGGGATTCTTCCAGTAGATTTTTTCTTTGACTTTTGAATTTTCGGCATCACAAAAAGAAGTTCTCTAAAGATTCACTCTCATTACAACAACGACACAAAGGTGACTGTGCCAGACCCGACCTGTGAAGGTAAAAGTTTGGTGAAGGGACACGACAACGCAGCCTTGTAATTTCTATTTCTTCCTTTCTTGATGAACAACACTTGTTCTTCCAAGGGAACTTCAGCTGTGGATAGTCTGATAAAAACAAAGGAGATTTTTTCAAGTTATTGGCCGTTGTGCGTTTTTGAAAGCGCGCTGCGGTGATATATTCTGAAGTAGGCAAAATAGATAAAGCAGTAAAATCAAGGGAAGATACAGCTAGTGCATCTGCATGCTCATTGAGAGCTAAACCTCTAATGGCCTGGTACCCAAACTAGTCGAACGAGTCGCACATGTCTAAAAATGAGCGAGTAGAAATTTTCTAAGGTACGCGAAAAAGTTTGTGAGCTTAAGGCAGTACAGACCGAGAGACAGTCTGTTAGAACATTGATATGTGGGGTTTTAACGTCCCAAAACCACCATATGATTATGAGAGACGCCGTAGTGGAGGGCTCCGGAAATTTCGACCACCTGGGGTTCTTTAACGTGCACCCAAATCTCAGCACACGGGCCTACAACATTTCCGCCTCCATCGGAAATGCAGCCGCCGCAGCCGGGATTTGAACCCGCGACCTGCGGGTCAGCAGCCGAGTACCTTAGCCACTAGACCACCGCGGCGGGGCAGTCTGTTGGAACAATCACCGCTGATAGATCTAGGGCACTTTACGTGATGCTAGGACTATTGACAGTAGCTCAGCTTGGTAAATAGGGGTAAAATCGGGTAATCGAATTAAGAAAGCCCAATCTAGAGAGGATGATACGATTCCTACGCCAGCCTTCTCTTCACAAACAGAAGCGTAAGTCGCTATCACAATGGATGTTTCTAGATTGGCCAAATGATCTTTCAAAATGCCATTTATATACTGATATGGTAATTTTTTTTGCATTCTTGAGATATACATAATCAAATTCAATCCTAATTGCTTGTACATTGTTGAGTAGAAGTAATTCCCAAAGGTTAACTCTTAAGGGGTCCAAAAATGTTTGCGTAAATATTACTTGAGGGAACCGTAGTTTAGACCAATGGTTGTTGAAAAATGAGGTGTGTGCGTGTTGTAACGGCGCAGCATGGTCGAGGCTTCTTCGCCCACTTCTGTGTCCTTCGGGGAGAGATGAGTAGATGTGAGGCACGGAAAAAGGTTTAAGAAAAGACTAATATCAATCTTAATCGTGACTTATTAGTATTAAACGTCCTGTAGCACAAACCCTTTCTACTAGTCGGCGACTTCAGCATATACGTAATACGAACCTTAGGACCTTAGTTTCGCCAACTCTTCATCATTCATTTCATGGAGATTAGGGAATTTTTTCTCTTTCCTTAATATTTTTATCACTTTTTTTCTTTTTTTTTCTTTAAATTTATATATTTTTTACTCCTTCCCCAGTGCAGGAAAGAAAACCAAAAATTTTCTTCGGGTCAACCTCCCTGCATTTCATTTAATCTTTCTCTCTCTTTGTCTCTCCCGATCAAATGTAATGAACCTATGCGCTTCATGAAGGGCTCTGAGTTTGTCTTTACTGCGTAGAATGAGTTTACTTGTTTGGCAAATAGACTGAAATTTTGAACAACAAAGTTGACGGCATTAAAAAGGAATCCGCTGCGAGGAAAATTCGTAATGCCTCCGTTTTTGTGATTCCTCGAAGCGGCGTCGACTTGACGGTAAATGCCCGTTTGCGCGCGTGAGCGTGTCTTATACTTATCCGCATACAACCGGAAATTGTTAGCACTGTGTTTATAGCGTACGCTAATTCTCACTAAATGTCAATTAAGCGATGAACAATGTCGGTTAATATTGGCTAAAAAAATACTGATGTCAAATGTTCCTTGAATGTGCTAAATTATTGCTAGTGTTCTACCGTGTCAGCTAAACGATGGTTATGGTAAGCTAGCATTTATTTAATGGTAAGAGTTTCATAAATGTGGCTAATATCGGTTTGTATCACTTTTGACTCACACCCACAACTCTTCGCTCACCACCCATCCACAGGGGAGATTGGCCAAGAATTCGGTAACTAGGACGCAATATTTAAAATGTAGAAAAGTGGGCGATTTTCTCTTCTTGTTGGACATCAGTATTTCTGGTTATAAATATTATTTGATAATAAAAAATTGGAGGACAAATTTATTTTGAGCGAATGATAAAAAATTAATGATACACCTATAGGGTTACATATTCCATGTGTTGTCGTAACGGCAACTTCGTGATGCTCTCGCATATTCATACACACCAAGGAGAGGGGATTCTGTCTGTATTTTTTTCTTAGTTGTCTTAGCACCAAATGACATTCTTGTCTCTTTTTCGACCACTTCCAGTTCATTAAAAAAAAAGAGTACCGTACCTTGCATTGGAGGGGCATGGCTGAAAACATGTATACAGTGAAGATCAAGGGATGTTCGTGCCAAGTCTGAAGACCTTGCTTGTTTCGTTTTCTTTCTGCTCTTGTCTTTTTATTTATTTATTTATTTATTTATTTATTTATTTATTTATTTATTTATTTATTCAATACTGTGGGCCTTTTCAGGCCTATACAGGAGATTGCGTACAGAGCAAATAACACTTCAGAAATGGAAAATATGCAACACAAACCACAAAACAACGATATAACAGTATAAAGCAATAAACGAACTATGCACATGTGTTTCACTGAAAAAAATCTTTTGTCTGTCTTTTTTGTCTCCACCTATTTATAGTTGACTCTTTCTTTCTATCTTGTTTCTATCTTTCTTTCTCTTTTTTTTTTGATTCCCTCATTTTCCGTCTTTCTTTCTCTTCCTGCTTTTCTTAATTTCTAGTTCTTTCTTTCTCATTATTCATATAGTATGTTCTACTCTCCATTTTCCCCCATTCCCTCCACCACTGTTCTCCTGTTCACACTCTAGT